CAACTGAAATTTAATTAAAGCCCTTAATGCATTTTCAAATGCCTGTCATCCAGGAGCTGTCCAGCAGCTCTCTGCGCCAATTGCACCTCCAAACTAAAAAAAAAACAAAGGCAAACTGCATTTAAATGAATAAAACAGCAGCGACGGCCCTCATCCTGGTCAGCAAAAACCCAACCACACACATCATTAATTTTTTTGCCCTTTTTTTTGAGGTTATGCAAAGAAAAGCATAGCTGAAATTATGAGCTAAGTGGTAAGGAAACGCGACCCTTCGCCGCAAAATCAGCGGCAACCAAAAAGTCATCACGTGACCAAACAATTGTGGTCAGCCTCAGCCAGAGGCCGAGGCCCATTTGGCTTATTATTCCCTTACGTCTGGGTGGCTGCTGCGTGGTGTTATGCTCAGCACAATTCACAGCACATTGTGCTAATGGCATTTCAACTATTTTGATCTTTGCCTTTTGGCTCTTTTCATTTGACCTTTTATTCCGTTTTTCATGCAATTCACTTTTCACATTTAAGACTAATATAATTGTGTAACTTTTTGAAAAACAGATTATCGTTGTTGGTATGCAATCTAATACAATTTAATAATAGAATGTATTTTTTAATACAATCTATCATAATTTTAGGCGAAAGCAACTTTAGAAAAAATGGATTTTTTTTGCAACATTTATAATGAAAGCCGTTGAAAAACAACTGAGTTAATGATAATAGTAAAGGCGAAAAATTAAGTTTAAGAAAGCCATGAAACCTAGTATGCAAAGTTGAGGGAATTGTTAGGAAATTTAATTGCTTATTCAGTTGCGAACTCCACATATATATGTATAAACAAATATGAAAGAGATTCTTGATCTGAAGCCAGCAAAAAACCTATTTAAGTATTTGCTTACCATACTCTCTTTTTTTGTGCTATGGCTTTATGCCAACTACATAAGTATTACCTTATAAAACTCATCAACACACCTTTGTTTGTAAGTAAACGGTAAAGTTGGCCCTTAAGTTTAACAATTTTGATGTTATTTATGATAAGTTTGTCTGTACGTAGTTAGAAGATACATAAGCTTACAGTAATTATGCATATTGCGTAGACGCAACGTTGATAAGCCCAAACAGAAAGATCAACAGCGGGTGGCAGGCAATTCCCGGAGCAGTTTATCAACAAGCCACTGGCTGGCCACGCCGATCCCATGGCTGTTGATTTTTATGGCAGTCGCCAAGGAAGGGGGTCTTGGACTGTCGGCAGTGTCCAATATGGCTTCCTGTGGGCTCTTGCATCTAGCAGTTGGAATCGCAGTGCTTACTGGAATGCTGGCGGGCTCTTGTATACATATATTTAGTGCAAATTGTAATTTAAGCATTTTGGAACACAGCCAAGTAATAATTTGTTGTACCGACTACTACTGCTGCTGCTACTGCTACTGCTCTGGCGAATTTGGATTTGTATTTTTCGTTTTGTATTGTGTGTACTTTTGTTGCCCCAAATTGATGCGCATCGCTTCACGGAACAACGAGGAAGCCAAGAAACAGCCATTCTTATCGCATCCTTTGGTTGTGGCTTTGACTGCTCCTTGAGAATAGCTTTTTATTTCTCTCGAAAAACATGAAAGTCAAGTGTTGCAGTTGCGCGCAATTATTCGAATCCACAGTCATGGAATCTGACTGGGCTCAGATGCCGCTGTGGGGATTTCTTTCCGAATCGTTTGGTGCAATAAATTCTATTAAAATGCAATTTGAAGGGTTTGTGATTTTAAATAATGCCAAGGCAACTCTGGGTTAATGCAGAAGGCAGTTCTTTTAGATTTCCTTCCTCTTTTGTTTGTTAGCCCTGCCATGGATTTTCGTTTTACTTTCCATTCCGCTGCAGATTGAGATTTATGCAATGATGCTGCCCTATGGATTTCTGCGTCCCTTGCCTGAGTGTATGTAAGGATGTCAACAATATTTACAGCTTATTCGCTTTTGAGCCTGCAGTCTGGCTAATTAAACAGCTATCAATGCCAAAAATACTATAGAAGCTGCGTAACACCAACTGAACACTGCAATCATTGCAGAGTTGAGACCATTAACCATTAACTATATTATAAAATCCATTTAGTTACGACACAACACAAATACACTTTTAATGCGGACAAATATATGGGCTATTAGTCTGTACCTCTATCAGTGATAAGCTTATCAAATGTTAAGCTACATACAGTTTTCAGTGTTGTATTCAAAAGTTAACTTTGAAAATGCATTAATTCATACAAAGATAACTACACTTCAGAAAACTGTTGTTCTATATTTTAGTCAGTGGCAAATAAAATAAATTTATCTTTTGGCAACGCAAAAAGATAGCAATTAGCACAAATACACACCAGCTGCGGCTGGTTCACAATACACACAGTTATCCAAACAAAAACTATTGGATATTTGTGGCCGTCTACAAGGATACCACCTACGAATTTGTAATAACATTTACTTTTTGACCTTTCAGCTTATAAATAAATAGCAAAGTTTCTGAACATTTTAATTTAATTTAATTTTTTTTGTTAATAGTTTGTACACAGACACATATGGCTTCATCGTCTTATCTTGGCAACCAGATAAAAATATATTATTTATAAAATATAAAGCATATTTCCATAAAATGCACACAGGGTACAAAGAACATAAATTGACCAAAATAGATAAATATTAAATTTATGAAATTGTCGCATGTTAATTTATCAAAAAAATTTCCTCACGTTAAATGCCAAAACAATACCAGGTCATAATAACAAATTTAACTGTGCCACAAAAACTATAGGAATTAAATATACATTTTTGCTTTTGTTGCTCAAAAAGTCTCCAGTTTGTTGCATGTTTTATACACATGGCCATTGGTTTAAATGTTGTTGTTTCAATTGAAATTTAATTCGATTGCTTGGTGCGACTTATGGGCGTAGTTTTGTTAAAGGCCACAGTTGAATATTATTAATACGCCCCATAAGACCAATAAATGGCGAGCATTATAGTTGTTGTTCACGCTGTGGCTGTCTGTGTCGTTGTGCAGTTTTTATGGTTATTGTCTTATAGTAATGACCATTAAAATTGGCACCGTTAAGGCCAAAGCCATTGTTGACCCACAGAAATTGAATGAAAAGTGCAACAGCAGGGATCTGGTGAAGCAGCTGCAATGTCAGCTTAATAATTACGGCACACACACACACACACACACACTTACACACACACACACACTGACGCACAGACAAGTTTCAGTTACATCTGCGAGGAATTTTAAAATGAAAACCCAGAAGAAAAGCAGAAAAGCTGGACAGCTGAAAAGCGCTGGCAAAACTGGCAGCCATTTACACGTCGACACATTAAAATAAATGAGACTTTGCCGTAAGCTTATGCCCTTCTGTTGTTGCTGATGTTATTATTGTTGTTGCAAAAATGGCAGAGCATTTTCACGTTTACCATGCGAAATTACGCGCAAATTACAATGCATAAGAGCATCGAGCGGCATTCAGGTGAGTTGAGTTGAGTCGAGTTCAGTTCAGATATATCTTTAAGCGGATCTTTTTACAATGTCCATCCACCTGTCTGTTGACTCTTTACTCACATTTGCATTGCATGAATGAAAGTTGCAGGTTGCAAAACCGGCTAGGGTGAAAAGGAGGGGTTGCCAATTGAGAACCTGACCTGATTGTCTGGCTCGTCCGCATTAATTACATTGTACAACTTCATTGGAGATCCAATGAGCTGAGTTCTGTTTGCCGGCGCTGCTCGAAGTGCTCGTTAACGTTGCTCAAATTATTCACGACACAGTTTGAATAAGGAAAATCGTTAAACAAGGTGTAAAGTGACTCAAAGTAAACTCACACAGAGATCTGTTTACATGAGCCAAGGATAATGATAAATATCAATATATTATATATTTAAAATGCACAATAAATGTGGCTTTTATGCTAAAATATTCCAAATAGCCTAGCATATATTAGCAGATTTTAAATTTAATTTTTTTTTATTTTATTGGTACATATACTTTACAAATCCTTCTAATCTGCTTCCAATCGCACTTCCATTAATTTACATAATTGTTTTACACTCTCCCGTACATTAAAGTGTGTCTCCGAAATAGTTATCTCTGGAGCTTGGATGCAGGATAAGCTTGAAGGCACCTTCTAATAACTGTAACCCTAACAAAATAAACCATTTTCGGGGGAGGAGGGCTCCAATTTAGCACCGCCAACAAGTGACAACGAAACATACACACTAATGTACACATTCGCGCACACACACAGAGGCACATGTATACTCTGGACACTGGCAAAGTAACAAACTCGGTTGGCTGCATGCCACAAAAATGCTGGTGGCAACAACAAAAGCAAACGGAAGTCAACAAAGGCGCTATGGCAATATGCAAGGGCAACAAACCTACAAGAACAGCAGAGAGAGAGAAAGAGAGAGAGGGAGACAGAGAGAGAAATGTGATAATAACGTGGACGTCAACAAATTTTACGCCCCGAGAGAAGACTATGAATTTTTATGGTGAAATTTGCCATTTTTAATTTCAACGTGCATTAAAAAAAAAAAAAAAAAAAAAAAAAAAAAAAAAAAAAAAAAAAAAATCAAGAAACGCAAACAAACTGTCATCAGGGCACAATGGTTGTGGGCATGGCCATATTTTGCCCTGGCCAGCAGTGACACCTTCATGTTGAAACATGTCCATGTCAGTCATGTTTTCCCGCAAACCCGACCGTAACCTTAGCACCTGCTGCTCTCCCATGTCGCCTCTCTGGATATTTATGGCAAAAATGCAAAATTAATGACGTGTGACGTGAAAATTGTCACAAAAAATGTGCCAAATTAAATTTTGGTTCGCGCTCAGTAGCCAAAAGCCAGCGAAGCGTTAAATTTCACTACCGCAGCATAAAATTCAATAAAATATTTTAAGCCCAGGCATCGTTTGAAAAATCTTAACAATTACGATTTAGATGCATAAAAATTCCATAATTCAGCGATAAATACAATTAAATTTCTGAACCTGTATTACAGCAGAAAAAGATGATTACAACTTTTTTGGCACATTCTCCGCAAATTGTCCCATAACATTTCCAGGTGGATTATAATTGCATACCACCCAAGTACGATCCGCTCTATAGAAAAGAAGGACACAAACTCAAATTATTGAAGTAACTTAACTTTTTGAAGCTTATCAAATTCACCTGCGTGCCACTCCGGTTCCCATTTCGGTACAAGCCTTCCAAATTAGCTGCGTAAAGTGTCCAGAGGTGGGCGAAAAATTGGGCTTATTAAAGTTGAAGGCATTGATCTCCCGATACCACATTTCGACGGGCAAATCGCCCGTTACATCCATACCACCAGATAGGAAGATATTCTCGCCATATTTGGGTTTCGGACGATGCTCCATTATGTTCTTATCGCGTAGATGCTGCGGAACAGTTAGATTCATTATCAAACTATAACAACTAGATGATCTGACGGATTTTTCCTACATTCGCCCATTCCTGGGCATATTTGTTCAGCTCATTGTTGATCTTCAGCTCAGGACACCCGTGCATCTTTCTATATTTGTTGGTGGTGATAAACACATCGTGAAGGAACTTCTCATTGTTGGCTTGGGTGTCTTGGCCAACAGGTCCTGGCGTACGCCCATGCGTTTTAGGTATCGGCGGCGGCTTTCTAGCCATTAATTAATTCGGCTGCACCCAGGTCCAGAAATTACAAATTATTACTTTTCTAAACTAACCAATTTTTATATATTTTTTGCATTATTTTTACATTACATTCGAAACATACACATTGTTGTAGCAACAATTCGAAAGGTAACTTATCTGCGAAAAAAATTAGATGAACACAGAACTTTTAATATTTTTAGTAATACCCAGACCAAAAAGTTGGGATTCCTATTTATTTAACTGATCTCCAAGAGACACTTCTGTTCTTGATTTACCACTTCATTGAGCTCTCGTAAAAATGCATGAGAGACATGAGCCCAAGGTTATAAGGGAAAAAGCCAAATTATCGTCCCATTAATCAATAAGTGTTTTAAATATTTACACATGGTCTTTGGCTTGGCATTTTTTTAAATTTAATTATAATTCATTAAGCAAAATGAATTAATTTGGCTGTAATAATGAATTTATAGTCCGTCGAAGACTTATAATTGTATAATTAATTATTTGTATTTTTTTTTTTGTGACACATCTTCAATAAATTTTTCATGATTTTTCATTGCAATCGAAGGAAAAGCAAAGATGAATATTCAAGTATTATGTATCTTCTTTTATAACATCGAGTTAGTATAAACTTCAATCATAATATGCAACTTACTCAAACGATGTCGTCCAACCATCCTGTTACCAATCTCTCAAAAAGCTTTTATACAAAAAATAAACTTTTCATATTAATAAATGCTTTATTTAGTTGCCAGGTGACTCTCAACAGAAAGAAGAACTTCGGTTACCATAAGCTCCATAAGACATTGCACAGTTTACACAGCATCGCTTTTTAAAAGTAGTAGAAAACTTTGTGCAAACCAAACTTGATAAGCATTTCCAGCATTATACAACTTTCAATTTACCTCTTTTGCTGGGACTTTATCAAATATTAAGTGTCTTTAAAAACTAATTTACTTATTAAAAACTATAATTATCAACGGCTATCAATTGAATTACTAAGTGGTCTTGGAAACAAGATATTTCATTTATCTTAATAAACATAGGTTAAGCTATAATTTCAATCCCTTATAAATGTAAACTCTCCATTTGAATGCCCCATTCCACCCAAATAAGGGCGGCGGTATTAACATTTTGATTGATATTGCAGCCCCCAGCTAAACTTAGGGTACTCGTCCTTTAGCCATAGATTAGATGCTTCACAGTCGCCGAGTGACGAGGAGCTGTCAGATGCGCATTCAACTCCGATATCAGTCACTCACAGTCATGTAATGATTGGATTAACCCACATGACGTATGAGTGATGTATGAACACTTGCATTAGTATTGCCTGGCAACGGTTATTAATGAGCTGCCGTCTCTTCCTAAAACTCCAGTGTGGCAGTCCCAGCTGGGCGACACTAATTGCCAATTCTGTCAAGTGAAGTCATTCCCAAATGCTGCAGAGGATATATCGAGCATTATTTTGCTGCAAAACTGGCGATAAATGTAAATTCTCAATCAGATGTGCCACAGAGTCGCCTTGAAGATATATTTTAAAAGGTGTCATCAGTTGTACAATAATGTTCTGTTTAATTTTCAAATATATATACAATTTTGTATTCATTGCGATAATCTGTTAACTTGCATTATCCAGTTTGAGTATCCACTTAAAGCTTAGCTCTGTCAAGCGTGACAGCTTTAACAAAGTCAATTAATTTTACACGTCCATATCGCCGTTGCAAAAGTGATTGATATTCACATATTCACATTTAAATTCAGAATACATTTGTGGCAACGAATGCCACACTCAAAGTGTAAAACCAAAATGTACGTTACTTTCTGTCGATTTAATTAATTTCGCAAATTTGGTTTCGCATATTTATGTATTGTACGGGTAAAAGAGTACTCTACATTCATTTGTACACTTATTTGCAGAATATATATGTATGTGTATATATCGGAAAACATATCGTTGTTGCGCTGGGTTTTAATGACAACCGCAGCATCTGCTGCCGGATGCGCTCGATTGCACATGTACTGTAATTGTGAGGCGAAAACTGCAAACTGCACAACATTTTCATTATTCTTTCCTTTTTTTTTTAAAGCAAAACTTGAATTTTGTAGTGACAAAAAAATCTCTGTGTGTTCGAGTGTACTTTGCTTGTACATAAATAATATAAATATAAACAAAAACCAATCCAATTTTGCATAATTTATGATTAAACTGACAAAGTCATTATACACTCAACAGGCAGAGAGGATGCACTTCCGACCCTATAAAATATATATCCTTGATCAACATCAACATCCGGGTCTTTTTACTCATCCGTCTGTGTGAAACGGTCAATCTCAGTGACTATAAGAGCTGGAGGCTGCATTACATTACATATTTCCAACAATTTTATTGATAGCTGCCCCCGTTTCACGAATATCGATATAAAAAAAATTAAAAATATCGATCTGGGTTCATGGTATCTCGTAGCTAAGCTGCATTCTAACATGTTTTGTGCTATGAGTTTATACACAATACGCTAAGCGTTCACCTGACTAGCTGTCTGTAAAATGGTGACTAACGACTAGATCAGGAAGATCGATTTTTAGACTTCGAATTTTCAACAACTTCAACAAAACTAACTCGATTTTCAAAATAGCAACCTGTCATGGTTTGACAAAAAAAAAAAAACAAAATGAACCTTACGAAAATAAATATTTGAATATGATATTTGCATACCCATACTCACTTCAAGGATATACTTCTACACATCCGTTCCAGCAAAAAAGTAAAAACTAAAACGTGAAGCGATTGACGAGACGCACACTTTGACGCAAGTTCATTGCATTAAGGCACAAAGCCAATAAAACTGGGCCAGCCACTCAGCTGCAGACTGAGCAATTGAGCCGAATGTCGAGCTGATAGCCATGGACTTCAGCCCACAGTCAGTAGGGGCAGTTGTTAGCCATCTCAATTGAATCGACAATGTGAGAGAGGCACTCGGTTCTGGACACGATACGCCTACGCTGAGCCACCATTCAAAGGCTCAGTCAAACAGGAAAAAAGGGCTGCAACAGCAACACCCCTTTCAATCGAGGAGGGCAGGAAAAGGAGTGCGACTACTGCTGCTGCTACTGTCGACTTTGGTAATCCACTTTGGCCGTATTCGCTTCTTTCGGCGTTCGTTTGAGCCGCCAAACGTTTTAGCTTCTATGGCCCAAAGGGGCAAAAATATGGCAAAACACACACGAGCAGGCCACTCCATTTCTTCTACTCACATGGCGCAAATGCAATTTCCAAAAATACTCTATGCCTGGCCAAAAAGTCGACTCTGGAAATAGTGCTACATGGCACATGCAAATTTGTTGCAATCTTTTTTTCCATACACTGTTCCCAATGGAGAAAAGAGTAATTTGGTCTTGTGTAAATTTTCCTTTTGGTCAACGGTGTTAAAGGTAGAGCGTCTAATCTGGGAAAATATATATAGTCAATTGTCGTGTATGTTCGTCTACTTAAACTTGCTTTATAGTAACTGGCGAATAGAAAAAATTGTTAAAATTGTACATTTTTTCGCTTTTGCCAGAAACAGAGCATTGCACAGTCAGAACACTTCGACTGACCAGTATTTACCTATTTCCTATCCATAAAACCAATCGATTAAAGAACGTTTCGAATATTTTACAGGCATGTGCAAGTGGAAAACAGAGCATACATTTACGGCCTTTGTTTGTGCATTTTGTATATTTTATTCCAATCAAGTTGGGGTAAAATGGATATAACAAGGTTTTCAAAACGTAAGCAACAACAAAAAAATATGAGATCTGCATTAGTAACTGATTAACACTGACATATCCGCCAAAAAAAAATATTTTATTTAACACTACTTTTACTTTACTATATATTTACACCTTATGATAGAGTCCAGAACCAGTTAAAGGGTATAACATAGTCTATAGCTCGCAATTGGAGCATGCTTAACAGTTTTTTTGGTTTTGTGCTTTTGCCTAAAAGTTTTGAACTAAAACTTTTAGTTGTCGTAAACGTTTTCAAATACACTCATTCCATTTTTGGACAGTCATCGAAAAATGGTAAAATTGCATGAGATTGTGCATGTAGATTCTAAACGCAAATTGCTTTGATAAATATATGGATTTTGCTTAAGTTTAAGAGCAATTGTACGTTAAACCCAATTAATATATTCAATTACGCCTTAAGGAAGCAATTCTAAATTACTTAACATGTTCAATACAGATAGTAAAATAAATACACTAATTCTTTAATTTATATGTATAAACTTTTTGCTTATCATTTAGACTTAGTTCAGATATTTCACAAGTTGAAAATATATTCATTGCTCGAATTCTCATTTTAGTTGTCAGCTTAGGAAATTGTAAAATAAATTGAAATACAAGACGGACATTTATCATTGCCACATTTCAGCCAGTAAGCCAGAGTTGCATGCCAACAGCTGAGGCAAAATTCTTTGCTGGGCTCTGTTGCTAGGAAAAAGGGGAGTTGCCGAAAGGCAACTCAACATAAAACTATCAAAAACTGTTGCTGAATTAAAATATTTATGCATTGTACGTGCGCCTCATGTTTATGTCCCATCATGTTGCCTGCCACTTATCTCTCTAACTCTCTCTCTCTCTCTCTTTCTTTGTTGCTGCTTGTGGCAATTTGTGTTGCATGAGCAATGAGGAAATGTATGCGTGATTTTGTTTATTGTTTTAATAAATGTCAACAGTCTGCAATTGTCAGCAATTAAAGAAATACGCAATGGCTCGGCAGCTAGAGCAGTTGCAGCAGCTTCCACAGCATGTGGCAGTCACACATTGCGTATGAAACGCACGCATCGACTGAATAAAACTTGCCAAAACTCCCTTTGTGGGCGGCCAAACCATACTGGCATCAAAAACTTGTGAGCCGCAAAATGCAATGACATGATTTATGACCAATAACGGAATACAATGGATGTGTTCCATGCATGGGTTGGGTACGTGTCGATTGTTCTCTCGTGACACGAACACACACCAAATATTTGGGTAATGAAATCAGAAATTCTATTCAAATCAGAACCTACGAATAAAACTATCATACATTTTTTAAATCCACTCGATTATAAGAAAATATTTTATTTATATATCTATTGATGTATTACAAAAAGAAATTGGTACATCATATGTCTTAGTTAGAGTCTGTCTTCATGTCGCTCTTAAATGTCTACTCCAAAATGCAGTTGATTTTCACAGACGGTGTGGCATGTGGCAACTTGCGAGTTTAGTCAGGGAACACTTATGGTTTGCCATTTATTTAGCGTATGCGCAATTTTCCACTCTTTCTTTTGGTTTTTTTGTACATTTTGTGCTCACATCGCGTAGCGATTTGTTCGATTGGAAAAATTGAATTATACACTTTTGATGAGCATAATAAAAAGTGGCAGCTGCACTGGGGCGTTGCAAACGATTGAATTGCCAATGTGGTCATCGCCATTCATATTATGAAGGACCTGGGAGGGAGTGACGAGGCAATTTCATGCAGGCCGGCCCAACAATTTAAGCAATATTTTTAAATGGTAGGAAGTGTTGTGACGTCCAACAACTAGCATTGTTTTAAATGGGAGTTTAAAAATATATATAATGAGTTAAACTGTAATACCTACTTTCGCACTTTAAAAAAATCTTCATTTAAATCAAAAGATGTACAAAATAAGCTTGATAATTATAAAAATTGTGTTTCATACTTTAGTGAAACCAAACCTTGTAATAGTTGTACCTGCTAATTGGTCCCTTCTATCAATTTGCATTCATTTTGTCGTCAAACTTTTACTGACAGTCAGTATGTACTTTCGAAAGGGTGTACAAATCGCGATGTACTTCGTAGCTCTCTTACAGAAAGACAAACACATTTTTCTCTAATTTGCCCAAGAATAATTTTTATAAAAAAAAATACACGAGCACAAACAGAATGTGGACAAATATAGTAAATTATTTGGCATGACAACTTTGGCACAAATAGTTTCATGATGCTATCTTTTGCTCAACTTTTCTTCAAGCCCTTGGCAACACTCCTCCCAACGCACACCAAAAGTTCGGGTCGTCAACTCTTTGATATACTGTTTTTACTTACATAAACAGCAAAAACATTTCGATTCCGTTTTTTTACCTCCATCTGTTGCTTGTTATGTTGCAGTCTCGAAGAATGTGCCCCATTGGGATGCAATTAAATGAAACGCTGTTGCCCCGTTTCTTTTTCCTTTGAAAGGGGACCTGGTCGTCGTTTTGGTGTATGATGAAGTAAACATATATGTATCTGTGTTGATTCGCTTTGTGAGTGCATTATTTTGTTTGTGTGCTCCTCAACCTATTAATGTTAACGAAGAACTGAATCAAATGACCAAGCCCCCCTTAAACCTGATTTCCCCTTTCCTGCTGGTCTTCTGCCTCGGCTACTTCGCCACTTGTTTGCATTTAATTAAAAATTAAAACTTTGACCTGAACAAATTACTGAGTGCAGCAACTTTTAGGGCCATTACCTTAATTCCATTACGTTTAAGCTTGTAATAAGTTAAAACCTTTGATTGGACAATAAGAAATTATATAACCAACAAACAACAGACAATTCAAACAAGTGAAACTTTTTTTTTTTGAGAGTTGCCAACTTGCAGTTCAGCTATATCCAGCTCTCAATTAAATTGACTTTAACTCGAGCCACATAAAAACTAGAGTTTAAGTCAATTTAATGAATTGCAATGACTGAAAGCAGATTAATCACACGTAAAGCTAAATGCATGATTAAAGTATGTTTTAAAAGTATATGAAAGCCTTAAGGGATAATTATGCATTATTTTTTGTTTTGTAGCTATGCTGATATACATAAATACACCAAGCGCGTTTCTTTATGAAGTGTAGAATGTAATATATTTATACAATATATTGTGCTACTCATTGGCAAATCTGCATTTATAACAAACATAATAGTCATTCAACTCCAGTGCCTATTTTTCATTGTCATCTTCCTTATCCACGGATAGCTCAATCCTATCATTTCCCCAGCTTTCTGCATCGCTCCGTGAGTGCACTTGAAATTTGAATATTTTTAGCTAAAATTATAAGTACGTGTATCCATCAAATTAATGGAATTTCATATTGGCCGAATCTGGAGCAGCAAACAAATTTGTTTATATGACTAAACATGTTATCGACTCCATATCGCTTATTGTTCTTGTCGCTTGCTGCTGTTACTGAGCACTGTTTTTAATAGAATTGCTTTCCAGACTTGTGAACAACAAACTGGAAAATTGCCCGTGGCTGATGTAGCTGCCATGCTCTGTGTTCCCTCCCCATCCTCTTATCGACTGAGGCACTACACAAAAGCAATTTAAAATGCTAACGGAAAATGCTGCTGACTCATAACTGACTGGCAGGACGCCCAAACACCCCAACATCGTCCCACACAGAAGACTAAACAACTTTGTTGAAGATTTGATTGAATTAAACTAATTTGGTATGCATGTGAACAACACTAACCACCGCCCTCCACACATCCCCTCCTCGGCCTGTGCTTAATGGCGGGGTAGGGATGACGGAAAATTCCAAACACGTAGCTGGCTGTGCAGGTCCTGCTTAACGTTTAAAGCGTTTTTCAATCCACACAATGCAATCTGATAGCCGTGGGCTAACTGTTTCATTCCGCTTTAGTTGCTCCTCGACACGAATGTTCTCCTGGTGACAATATGCATTTACCCCAAGGCCCCAATCTCCCATGCCAGCCGGTTATCCTGCGCCAAGCCTTCTGGTCAGTGGCTAGTTAAGCTCATTTTACAGGCGCCTTTAGTAAACTGGCGCCGGGGAAAGTCAAGTGCTGGTCGGCCACCTTTTCCACCTCGACGTGCTGCATGCGCCCAATTAAATCAAGCCGAGAGCCAGCGAAGCATCATTCAATGCACTTGGCATTCAAAATGCTCAAGTGGGCGTGGCGCCAATTGAATGATAACGACAGCAGCAGCATTTGCTGCTCCAGTGCATCGGCAGCAGCAACAACAACCAAATCAGCGTTGTACTAAATTGGCCAAAATGCCTGAATATCAGTCTGTCTACTCGCAGCAGTCTGTCTGGGCAATCCGGGCAACGATCTCTACCCCCCACAGCCATCCAGCACAGCTGCGTGATGTTTCACTAGGAAATTGAATTGAAAAGCGGGCCGCGGTGTGTTGGCTTTGTTCGATAGCTGGCAAAGTTGGCTGTTCCCCCTCTATAAATATGGATATGACCGCAATACACAACCCAGCGAAAACTAGTAGTTCCGAAAAAGTCATTCAATCAACTTTCTCATTCCATTCAAAAATATATCTGCTTACATCGAGAATATTCCCATTAATTAAGTATTGAAAACATATTCTTTAATAATCATAGATACAAAGTCGTTGCTTAAACCTAAAGGTATGACCAACAACTTTGTTACTGCTTAAACCTAAAGGTATGACCAACAACTTTGTTACTTTTATGGCTTATGCCAAAAGGAAATATTACACTTGCTTACAGTTGGTAGATAAAAACTGCTTATTCAATTTCATATTTTAGCTAAGATAACTAAATGCCATTGAAAAAACAATATGGCACAGAGATAAATGAGTATTGCTTCGCTGCTTTTGTCTATAAAAGCAAATTGAGCTGCCAGTATCTGAAGTATTTGCTGCAGCTTGCTATAATTACTTTAGTGTCTGTAAATCGGTCTTTTGATTTTTAGCATGTCAGCCAAACAGTCATCGAGAACGCACCCTGGCAGGTCTCCTTGCAGTATCTAGGACAGCACGATTGTGGGGGTTCCACATACAGTGCTGAGATCATCATAAATGCTGCACATTATATGACGAAGATAAAGACCCTTGGTGAGTTGTAGATACGCTTGGGTTCCTCTCAGCACAATACGTGAAAACTATCATAGACCAACAGATACCAACGATATTGTCGTATTACGTATATGTGAGTCTTACATTGGGAAAGCGTGTGCAACCCATTGCTCTGGCTACGAAATATCCAAAAATAAAATCTTTCGCAACGGTAACTGGATGGGGGTCCTCATTCACAGAGTCGGAAACACCGAATTTACAAATGAAACACCGAATTTAATCAAACATTGTGAAGTTCTTTCCACAACTATCCGATAACTAAGGAAATGATTTGCGCCTGCAATCGGAAGAAAGGCGGTCCGGCGGTCCATTAGTGATCATTAAAGAACTTGTAGGTGTTGACTCCTTCGGAACTAAGAACTGTACCTGCCCCAGCGTGTATGCCCAAATGCCAATTCAAACGATTATAATATAGGACTATGAACTGAAATAATGTAGCTTAAAAACTGGCATGTCGACGGTGTAATCGAGAATTGTAAATCAACAAAAATAAATTCATAGAGAAGAAAAAATTACTGTATCGAAACCAAAACAGCGTAGCAGTCCGAAAAAGCCAATATATATATATATATATATATATATATATATATACTTTGGAAAATGTTCTGAATCTTTACTGGAATCTGTATACGTTATGTACCAAAATCGGAATCGAAACTTAAATTTGTTTCTGTTTGATGGTTGTCAGGTTGATAGAATGAGATTCGCGCTAAATACGATTAAAACCGTTTTGTGGAATATTTGCGACGTGAATATGGAGGAAAATGTGATTTCAGGAACTCCTAGAAATGCATTCATTTCGTTAAACGCAAATGCGACGCATTCAAAGCCCCGCAAACTATTGGCTTGCCTGTGGATATACGCAGCTATTTCCGGCACTGATGCCAGCAACTTCCGTCCGTGAGATGGCCACAGCTGCCGGGTTATGAACAGCTCTACACATTTATCCGCATCCACCCCCACCACCCCCGTCCATCTCAGCCCAGAGAGTGCACTGTCGCTCTCAGTGTCTAGTTGCGTTGTGCAAAATTCAAATGGAGCTGACTTAAAGCCTTGCAGAGCAATTTAAATGCGTCAATGCGCAATTTATGATGATGTCTTTCATGTCGATTTTAATTTGCGCAGTCAGCGACCGGCGACGGGTTTAAAATGGAAACTCATAAAGCTCCACGTCGGAGGTGCCATAGTTTTTTTTTTTTGGTAGGGGATGCGAGAGTTACAATTCGTATTGGGAATGGCATTTGGGGCGCTCATTAATGCTACGCACGTTGCCATGGGCCAAGATGAAAGATACGGGACGCGCTAATCATAAAACAAAAATGGAAAACATATAAATCAGTGTCCTTGACACGTGTTGCCAACGTGCACCATCGATGGCATTACCCAAGGTACCATCGAAGCCACCAGCAAGGCTACCGCAACCAGGTGCCTGATGTTAGTTGCCAGCTGCCAGTTGCCAGTTGCCAGCTACTCCAAAAGCGTCCCTGGGTCAACCTGTAGCGATATCTAGCGCGACGACTTGTGCGCTGTCACGTTGTAAATCTCGTGAGGGCAAACAGAGCACAGAAGACAACAATAGCGCCACAGACGGCGACACAACACACAAACATAAGGCACAACACAACACACACGCGTGCTTAGCCATATTTATCCATATCCCATTTACATACAAAAACACACGTGTGTGTGTGTGTGTGTGTGTGTCTTGTGACAGTGTGAGCAGAGAATGCCCATTGTGGCCATGGTCCCAAGAGGCTACAAGCCGAACGATTGCATTTTAAATTAAAAAGACGTCAGCGCAACGAATCAACAGCTGCGTCCTTGGAAACAGCACTTCCTGACAATGCAGGATGCAGACAAGGAAAATGACCGAAAAAAAAGAGAGATGAACTGGCAATCGAAATTGAAATCACCTTGAAGTCAAGCATGAAAGCAACGATATAAATAACGATAAATTGCTCGATTGCGCATATATCAGATTGTACATTTCTGACTCATTCGCGGGCCTTAAGAACTTCTGCCATATGTGTGTAATTTCCGAATGATTTTAAAAGTACACAGCAGATAATTGAAAATTTGATATGGCTTTCTCATTGAAAATAATGTACTCTTTCTATTTTTAATTGTCTTTTGGACGATATTTTAATTTTGTCCTGCAGAAGACGTCTCCGACCCCATAATGTATATATATTCTCGACCAGCATGAGTTAAAATACAATAATATTTTAAACTCCCACTAAAATTGAAATGTTAGCAAATTAAGGGTATGTAATCCTCGGCGCGTCTAAGTTAGTCGTTGTTGGTTTTAATATACTCTCATATATTTATCAAAAAGATAACAATAAATTGACTTTTGTACAGGTTGTTTAATATACAGATTCAATATACATTTGCAAAATAAAATATTTTTTTCATTTCTCAGAATGAATTCAAGAAAATTAAAGTTAAATCAAGTTACGTATATTGAACATATAAATTCAAAATTTAACTTTGAATCGAAATTCTTGCCATGCTTGCAAGCCATGCCATTCCTATGCAACGCAAAATCCTTTTCACAACTTAGACAGACAGTTGCAGTTGCAGCCTTTGGCAAGCGAAACTAACTTTTGCAACGTCTGGCAACTATTTTCAGGCCTTAAGGGTGCAAGACATTAAGAGAGTCTCTAAAATCTGCAGAGCTTAATATCTGTTTGGACAATAAAGATTTCCAAGCCATTGGATAATGCAAACTATGCAATATCCTCATAATCGCATGATATATGCTCAATCTCTGCAGCAAAGTTTTCAAAATTGCTTGCGAGTTTCAGTATCCAGACAAGGAGTATGGCAAAGGCAGAGCCAAAATAGGACGCTGGAAGCAGCGCTAAGCCCTGCATTGCTTCGCACTCTGGAGAGTCAATTTCTAGCGATTAAATTAAGAATGCATAACTTGCAGGGTTAACAACGTCAGACGGAAAGCGGCCAATTGACCCGCCGCCCCGCCACACCACCCCTGGCACTGGCACTGGCACTGGTCTGGCACTGGAGGCGATGCTGGTCTTAGACTTGGCTTTGGAAGGCTCTGATTTTTATTTGCCATTCTCTTTGCGCCTCTTATGAAAGGCTCTCACGCCAGCAGCTGCTTTTAAATACCCTGTAACCAAAGAAAAGAAAAAAAGTATAAGTGCTTAAAGTGTCTTAGAAGAACATCTCGTTAAATTTAAATATTTGCGCTATAAATGGAGCAAATATTTATTTTGTGTTTATCAGCATTTAAGGCTTGAAATTATATTGACATATGCCATAAATTAAAAGTTGTATTTATCGTATTCAAGTCAAAAATGTTTTGAGAGGTTAAGCTTAACTCGCTTTATCTAAATTTTTGATGAAGCTCAATATGTTTTCATTTTGATAATCGATTTGGCTATTTTACCTAATATATTTTTTGAAAAATAAATTCATAAGTGGCTAAGATAAATGAAGGTTATTTTCAGCATATACCGGATATTTCCTAGTCAGGCGACTGGAGCTCTCTAACGTATTTCAATTTGCAATTGCTATTTCTGCTACATCCCGACCTGCCCGACAGTTGCATGTGCACAAGACACATGTACTTACACACATACAACGGGTAGCCTCTAGCTCCTGGTTACGGTAAACAGGAAGATCTTGGACTTGAGGTACTCCTTTTTCCGTACGCCAGTCGTTGTATTTGTTTTTAATGCTGCTTGCATTTGCAAATAGTTTTCATAAAAGTTGCTGTTGCTGCATGTCGCAACATGCCTGCAACATGCCTGCAACATTTTGCGGTTGCACAAAGCAGACAAGACAACAGCGGCGACAATGGCTACGATAATGGAGGACAGACTGAAATAACTGGCGGGACAACACAGTGTAACGCCAAGTCGGGAGTTGAACTTACCATCGCTTTTAATTTGTAAAAATGCGAGAGTGCAAACAAAAATAAAAATTTAAAAAAACACGCTGGAGTCTGGGCAACAGTCGGTCAAGGGGTCTGCATTGCTTTTTTCGAGTTTCGTTTTTATACTCTGACACCGAAGGTATCATCTCCCATAATTTTAAGGCTACAGTCATCAGATTTTGTCGGTAGGTTGTTGCTGATGTCCTTCAAAGATCGGCATATGCCACGCCCACTTACACCGCCCGCAGGCCCCTTGCTATTAAACACTTTTAATGGGTATATCTTCCGTAGTTTGAAAGTTAGACCCGTTAGAGTCAAGTTAGACTGTGGTAGGTATATAAGTAGTAGCCGCATTTAAGAACCGATTACAATAAATTTTAATGGGCACGCCCACACCTGGAAGCCGATAAAACCGCATATCTTCCCCAATTTTAAAGTCACCAAATTTTGAAACAATTAAAGCCTATATCTCCCGCAATTTAAGAGCTACAGTTATCAAACGTGGAAGGTAGATTACATTTTTTTTGAGACAAGCCCACTCCCGTCCCAAAATGCACAAAAGTCTATTTCTACCGCAACTTTCAAGGCAAACTTGGACGGTACACCAAACTTGTTCTGTGGGACCTGTTATCGGATGGTATTACTTATGATTTCAGAGTATTTCGCAATCGTTTACGCCCGACTGCAACGTTCTCACTTTTTTTTTTCTTGTGTTGGTTTCACATTTGCACGTCTGGCCAGTGTGTAGACCACACATAATTGAATTAAGGCAAAACTTTTGCTCTCACTCACACCCTATTTGGCATTTTCGCTTAATGTTATTTGCTTGTTGCTCTGCGTTGCCTTTTGTTTCCAACTTTCGTTTGTAAACTATATATACATGTGAGCGTAAAGAGAAAGAGTCAGACACACACGAAATTTGCGAAGGCAATAACAAGAAGAGTAACAAAAAATTCCGCTAGATCAGCCATTAACAGCGAGCGTCATCCCTTTACTGTCGACTTTATGTTTACAAAGTGCGTGATTTGTTTTGTGTGTGTTTTCAAGAGGATTGCGATAAAGAATGAGAGTAAAGAAAATCTACAAAATTAACTTCAGGAGATTATCCGGTTTTGTCCGGGGCCAAATTTCCAAAAATAGCGTAGAGTTATAGTCATACGTGAATATGTGAAAATAAATCATTTTAATTTCTAAGCGATACCTGTAACAATAAACTATGCAAAGAATTCAAATAAAATGACTGCAATAAAGTGTTGTGCATTTTGCCAAACTAAACCATTCAAAACTAAACACAAATTTCTCAGTTCCAATGACAGCAGCAAGCCAGTAGGCAATATAAAATTCCTTTGCTGGAAAACCACATGACTCACTCAAACTGTCATCATATGGAAGCTCTTGTTATCATTTCAAGTATATGTTAGTGTTTCTGTGTGTGTGTGTCTGAAAAAGTACCTTCCATTATGCATGCAACCAAAGCAATGACCAAAGGAATATTCAAGGCATTTAGCAACTCATTGTCCCTTTCAGCAGCAACAGCAGCAGCAGTAGCAGCAGCAGCAGCAGTAACAACAAAAGCAACAAAAACAACAACAGAGATGAGATCTTAAAAATGTATTCATGGCCCTCAAATTGTATAATTTAAGTTTGCACATAAAATCACACCGCAAACTTAGACATGACCCAAAGCAGGAATAAACAAGTAGAACTTGCAAGTACACACATGCATACATACACACACACACACACACACACACACATACACTCATACACATGTGCACTTCTACTTATACTGTGCCGTTGGGGAATTTGTCTAGAGCCAGGGCTGCAGAGTCACGTAGATTTTGTCATCGTAAATTTCTTGGGATTTTTATCAGGAGGCAATTGAGCGGGACAAAAGAAATCAATTTTGTAAATCACCAAGTGTTAAAAATTTAGAGCTCCTGATCGAATATAGACCAAAGAAATCGAACTAATAATACAAAAAGTTACCTGCACACGTATCAAATATCATACCAAAATAATTTCACAGCCCTGAATTCAAATCACATAACACCAAACAGGAAAGTAGAGGCGACTCCGAATCTGAGGGAAACTCTTGCCCGGCAAACATATCGAATTTAAATATTTTAAAGCTGTGGCCCACAAAGCGTTCACAAAGGGAACGCAGCGGATACAAAATACAAAAGTTGTCCGCCATAAAAATGCTATAAAATTGTGCAAATGGCGTAGATACAATATATAGAACAAGGGGATACATGAGAGATACATAAGTATCTGCTGACCCAAGTGCGTGTTCACATGAACTTTTATGCGTGTGTGGGCGCATTGTCAATCCTAAAACTTTAAGTGTTCCCAAACCGTTACCGTTACCCAGTCATTGTCATTGTCATTGTCGTTGTTTTATCCGGATTCTCATTTGCACGCACCTTTTTTTTTTTTCTTTTTGCAATGCTACAGATTTTATTTTAATTTTTGTTCTCTTTGTTGAACCCTTTTCAAGTGGTTTTCGTTGGGCAGGGAGCAATCTCAACACGCACATAGCCACATCGAGTGAGTTATGCTGCTCCCAGGTTTACACACGAAGCATTTCTGGGCGACAAATTGGTCCTCAAGCTAAAACCCAAAGGTTGCCAAAGTGTGCGCAGTTTTGAAAGTGTAAATTGCATTGGGTCGAGTGAATAGGGGCGAAATGTGTAGGGGCTGGGCATATGTATGTACATATGTCCAGTGGTCTTGTAATAATGGCCATTAGTTTGCTTGCGGCTACTGCAAGCCAGGGAGACATTTGCAGAATAATGTTCAGGTCTTAATTAGAATGCCAGCTTCGGTCTAGCAGAAGACGCACGCCTCATAAATTATTTATACGCAATGAACATGAAATTTAAATAATCAAACTCTATGCAACTTGGACACACAATCGAATTGGCCCACAACAACTGTACTCCGGCTCCTTACCATTGACATTTACATAATCGAATCAAGCTGAAAACTAGTCGCCGGATTATTCCGGAGTTGAGCTCCAAGGCCCATACATAAACTTCACTCAAAATGCTAAATAATTTTGCATATATTTTGGCCACACTTGCTATTTCTTCAATGAATACCCACACGGTGATTCGTTCATTCATTTTAAACGCCTTTCATGCTGTCACTTAAACGATATGGACAAAATTTCTCAACCCATTTAATGCATCAATATTATAAATGAAAGATGAACGATAAGTTCAAAAAGGTTAATGGCAAACAGACATTTACATACATCTAAAATATCTGTATTTTATTTAAATTGGTTGAATTCAATGTATATTTAATAGGATATTTAAGGATATACAAAACCCAGGAATAAAGCAAATAAAATATTATTTAGCTGGCATTTGCTCGACTTTACTTGTTTCTTGTCTAACGATTAAATAGTTTGGCAAACAAGCACATCAAGTAAGGAGTACAAAAAATTAGCCCAAAATTTACCTGAGGTTTCTCTCGTAGTCGAGTTTCTGAAATGTGGCAAAGCCGGCACATAATGCTACAACGTGACACGTTGGGATCCAACCTGTAGCTCACCCAGCAGCACCCCTTCATCACGTGCAATGCCTCTAAGCTCAACACGAATGCAACCACTTTAATTATGTAAGTGAAAATTATGAGTGGGCGGGGCTTTGCTTGGCTTTGCTTGGCACACGTGGCGTATGAATAATGTAAAATGTCAACTAATTAAGCCGAGTAAAATGCATTAAGAACTTTGCTGTTCAACAAAAACAATTTTAGCGAACATAGCAGCCACATATTGTTGGTTTCCATTAAAATGTTCACAAAACACCATGTGATATATACAACGACATCAATTTTCAGGATAAAAGTAATGAATTCTGTATTTGTGGGCACGTTTCAACATCAGCTCATAGTCCTCTTCATCCAGTATGTCCGGAAAATCCTTGTCGTCATCGAGGTAATTGGGACTCCAAGTTGGTATGGGAAAACCTTTCCTTAACAGCAACAGATTAAGCAAACAGAAACAAATCAATAAATATTTCATTTTCTTTTTAAATGGAAGTCAAAATATTTTCAGAGATTTTAAATTTTTATAGGATTTTTTAGTTTTTGTTTCGAACTTGTCAAAAAACATACTTTGTTAGACTTAACACGTATTGTTGCAATATAAAATTAAATTTTTTACAGCAAGCTAAATAATTGAATAGTTTTAGAGAACTTTTACCGTAGTTAGGCTAGAAATATAAGTTTCTCTCTCTTGTTTGTACATAAATTTATAAATTTACAATTTAGCATTATCTGCTCTTAATGATACACCTCAGTGGTTCTCTCCACCCCCATAGGAGATTCCGCCTGTTGCTGTTTCCTTCCCATGGCATACGGCTTCTCGTCATAGGTCTTCACGTAGAAAGTGCCATTCTTGGGATCAGAGGGCTCACCGCCCATGCGAAACTCACCATCGAAGTCGAGCAGTACCCATGACTTTTTGGACATGCGCTCACAGCGAACGCCCCAGAAACCCTTGGTGCTATTGATGGACTCGGCAAAGTAGTCATGGGCACGCCTATGTGAACACCCGTACACATAGCACTTTTTCTGATCCTTGCCATAGTTGGGATAGAATGCGGCATGACCCACGGGTTCCTCGAAGCCAAGTCCAGTGCTAGTGTGTATGGACTCCACATAGGTGGCGTCACTGGCATCGATCCGACACTCATCGGTCTGCTCCCGAAACTTGGGACCCGCCGGATCCAGGGCAAATATCGTGTTAAAGCGAAAGGGTCTGATCTGTTTGCCAGCACTGCCGGCAATCTGTGCACCCAGAGAGTGGCCAATGACGTAGACATCATCGAAGTTCAGTTTCGCACTCACGTGCAAATGACGCACAAACTCGGCCAGCAGAAAGCCCAGACCTTCGATCATATCGGCGACACTAAAGTAGTTTACATTCGATGATATTTTGCTCCAGTCACAGATAATAATATTGAAATCCTCATAGAGGGGACTTTCCATCGGGGCTTCACCATTTGTGTCATTATTATCGGTTTGTGGCTTGGGTCTGGGATAGGTCAGACTGAGATAGGCGGCTTTCACATCCCGATTCAGTGAACCCTTACCCTGACTCATCCAGCCGTGTATAATAATTCTGAAATATCCAAATTCGATTAAGTAAATTTGCAATGGCAACACATTGTGTGTTTGTCTATCAAATTACAGTGAACCCTTACCCTGACTCATCCAGTCGTGTATAACAAGTCTGTAATATCCAAATTCGAATAAATAAATTAACAGTAGCAACACATTGTGCGTTTGGCTATAACCAGCATATCTTATCTTCACTCTGTCAATATTTAAACATTTTAACTGCTATCTACTAATGTTTGTTCAAGATTTGAATAGCGCATTATATAGTCTACTCTCTATAATTGTGAGTACCTTCATAAATAAAGCATCTGTGAATGACTCACTGATAAGCTGTAAAAACAAAAAACAAAATAAAAACATTGCCAAAAAAAAAAAAAAAAAAATTCACAAGCATCTGTCGTAGAGTAGTCGGCTAGAAAATACCCTGTGTTAAGTTAAAAATATATTGCGATTAGCAAAATGCTGAAATATTGGCAAAATCTGCTCTATTAGATCTCGTTAAATTCAACTAAAATAATCCATGCAACTGTATTAAATAACTTTAAGTATGTGCGGTAAAAAATAATAAACAAAATAAAGTAGCACAAATACAATATCTACAATATCATGTTACACACTTTCAAAATATAGAGTATAAAATACTGATAACAACTAAAAAAAACACAAAACCAGTTCTCATATGTGAGTAAGTGAAGTTTTTCAGCGAACGAATTTATAGATGATGCATTCACTAAATATGAGATTTAAAGCTCTAGAGTTACAAATTGAATAAGTAAACTATAGAAACAGAACCGTACATATACTGCTTATATCACTTTCAATTAACAGACATGTAAATTAGAAATTCCCACAGTAATGTCAGATGTACAAGTCTATTTTTTATTTACAATCAAAAATTGCAATGACAATGGAACTAAACCCATTAAAACACTTACCTAGTGGGATGACGTGCATCGAAACCGGAACGCATCAAGGCCTGTTCATCGCCATCGGGAAACAGCTCTCTACCGCAATGGGGAAAGTCTCGTTTGAATAGAAAGAATTGCATTTTCACGCTTGCACTACCCTTAAAGGGTACCAAATGGTTGAAGAACATTTTCCAAAATGGGTAATCCAAATACTTGTTCGATTTAACTAGCTGATAATCGCAATGGTTGGGCTGGTAAGTTTCAGTTTCGGGTACCGCTAAATGAATTAATACTTTACTTTTTTCTTTACTTTATTGATCATATTATTATTATTATTTATTTTTTTTTTTCTATATTAATTACCCAAAACAGCGCTGAGACCAACTACAGCGATTAGTGAAATTCGTACCATCTGCATGGTTGTGTCTTGGAATCCGAATGCGAATCACTTGAAGAGAAGAATGCATAAGACTTTGATTTCGTACGTTGCTCCCAAGAACTTGTTTGCTCCACAGACACACACAGACGCACAGACTCGCATGCAGCGGACACCAATTTTAGCGAACCGTGCCGCTCAATGGTGTTGGCCCAACTAACGAAGACAAACTGACCAAGTGGCTGTTGACTGGACTGATCGCTTTAGAGTGAGCAAAAATTTAATTGACACTTCCAACAGATCGGCTTCAACTCTGGCGACACTCTGTCTGTGCGCTCTCTCTCTCTCTCTCTCTCTCTCTCTGCCTCATGCACAGAGATAACGGCAAAGAGCGAGCGGGCGCCGGCTATTAAACGTTAATTGCTTAATGGTTGCCATAATACAATATACACAGATGATCTACTTAATATACTGCTCACGAGCACTGAGTACGAGTCGGAGAGAGAGAGCGAGAGAGAGAGAGAGAGAGAGAGAGTGAGAATGCACATATGAGGAAAACATTTTCTAAGAGCTTGAACTTGAGAATTGTTTACGAAGTATTTGAAAGGAAGCGGTCGATTTATTATCTGCTAATTTATTTCCATAATTATAATTAATTATATTAAATATTAGAATATTATTGAAAATAAGAATTCATTAATGTATTCTAAGCATGGTAATAATAATATTATAATTAATGTAAAATTACAATTTTTATGCAGTAAATGTAAGTTTCTGATTACAGAAAGAAATATAAATGCTCAGTTTAAGAAAGCGAGCAAATTAAAGATGGAGCTTAATGTATTCTGGGCATGGTACATCGCCTCCAGTATAAGATAAGTTGATGCCTCATTAAAAATACATGATGGTTGTTAGTAAGAAAGGAGTTGTACAATCGAGTGTAGTAAATAATTGGCCCATAACTTGACTCGGCACTCTGTTATCGGCTAATTGCTTGGCTCAAATCAGATTTGTAGCACACTTAATTATGAAGGAGGCTGAAGCACATAATTCATTTATGAGATACCAAATAAAGCGACAAATTTCAGGCACTTAGCAAGTCAATCGCTCAGGCAGCCACAACGCCCTGGTAACTGGGCGCGGCAAGTTTTCAGCACTTTGGTCACGGACACACAAGTGGCACACCAGGCTCACCTGGGGAACGTGAGCCGGCATTTCAATTATGCAAATTTCGTGGGGCTCCTTGATTAGAAAATCCGCAAAAAACCCTTGAGCAGCGAGGGCGGTGGCATTTGGACGTTTACCCTCTGAACTCGGCACCCATTCAACCTTCGGGCGTCAATCAATATGATGAAGCGGAGCGGAGCTGGTTAGCGGTGAGCCAGCGACACCCACGCTAATGAATTGGCAAAACCACCAATTAGACTACAGAAATTAATTGGCAGGCCCACGGCTGCCTTTAAGCAACCTCCCACCCCCCTCCACACGCCCCAAGACCACCTTAGCTAAGGACTCTTACTGAGTCTCATTTTAAAACAAGGCACACGAGTGGAAGAGCCTCTCTGCAAATTAAAATATTTGTTTGTACCCCAACAAAAAAAGGTACTACAGTTTTGCACATTTTACTCATAACTTTGTTGTTTGGTTGAGTGTTGCAAAACTTTCTCCGCCCTTCCTTTGTTGGCGTGACAAGTGCGCAGCTGCAATTAACGGGCAAAATTTTCAATTTATGCAGCTACTTCAGCAGCTTTGAACTTTTGTATACTCCCAAAAGTCGTTTGTCATTAACGATTCTAAGTATAAAATGTATTTGAAATTAAAAAAAGTGTCGATGCTGCAAGGAATACACCTTGCCGCATTATGCTGTACATTTATTTTACTGTAATTTACTTTATACACTTTGAGAAAAAGGTACCCAATCGATCAGATTATTTATGCAGTTAGTTTTTAGTCGATTTGACGGCTCTATGTAGTATATGCTCGACATCGGCTTATGAATATATCAATATATCCTTAGTAGATGCCCATATTATTACTTCACTTGCAGTTTTATTAGACATTTTTTTTTTTAGTTTTTATTATTACTATTACTGCTATTTAAATTTATTTTATGATTAAATCGTTCCCATGATACTGCAGCAGGCTGTTAAAAGTTCTTCTTTTTTTTTTGGCCGGCAATCCTTTAACAGTTTCTGTCAATGGCTGAACTTTTGCCACATCGCCCTATTCCCACACCCCATGGGGAGTGGGGCCTGTACACAAAAGTTTTGACTTGAACCGGAAACTTGAAATCGCCAACTAATATTTTAAAGCATAACAAAGTGCGATGGGATTTTGAGTATAAATCTTAACGCCGCTTTTTAGTTTAGTCAGCCGCTGCGTTAGGCGCTTATTGCATTATGTGCTTGCTGGGTCAGTGGGAGAGATTGGGTCCAAGGGACGTTTGAGTTTGCTCGGTTACGGTGTGCCAACAAAGACTGCAACTTCTCCTATTGACTTAATGCTGTTGGTAAGTGCGCCAAAGTGTTGCTTGTAGATTTCAAACGTGCAGGGATAAAACACGAAAACTTTTAAAATGGTCAAAGAGGATAACGTTTTGTGCACTTGGACAAAAGTCGCTTGGTCAACTAATGTACCGAAAGGCAAAAAGAAAATGCTACGTCTCACCTCTAACATATATTCTTTTGAGAGAAATTTTTCTATTACGAAAATCAACCAAATTCCATTTTTATACTACAATACATTGAAATACTACTCTCGATTTGAGCTTTGGTTGCATTAATAATTGAACATCGCACGATTGGAATTGAAAATTCATTTTGTTTGTAAATTTGATAGTTGATTCACTACTGGACATGTGGACATGGAGGTGCCGCTAGGTGGTAAACTGGCAATTGTTGCTGCCACAGCCGGAGCATTCTTTGCCCTGGGCGCCTACTATCAGCACCAGCATGTGATCTGCAACATTAGGAAATTGGAGCAGCGCAATCCACACGCCTATTTCATACGACGCAAACTCTACGGTCTGGTAAGATGCGCAGTTGCCTGTTTGTATGACAACAGTATGCTGAGCACGGGCTTACATCCATTTCAGCTGGATATCTTTAACGTAAAGGAGATCAAGCAGCCGGGCTACGATGACATTGTCGACGACAACACTCACAAGATGGGCGCCATTATGAAGTACGGATTTCCGAGCATGAACGAGATTTGCCTGAATGAGACTTTCAATTTTGTGACCGCCTTCGATCGCCGCAACTCGGCCATTCAATGGATGTGCGAGAGGGTTGATGAACTCACATATACCAATGCAGAGGATTACGGTAATCATTGCGTATCCGTGCGGAACACTCATCGCTCGGGCATCTCCTATCAGCAGTCAGAGCCGGCGCGCGTCTTCTTCATGTCGAACATCAAGCCATTTCTGAGTCGCGGCTTCAACACGAGCATCTGGGAACGACTTTTGCACTATGTGCATGACATGGCTCAGCACTTTGGCACTGTCTATGTGTACACCGGATCGATATATCTTCCACGGCAGATGAGATGCACCAGCTGGTTTCTGGAGTTTCAGCCGGAGGACAATACGATTGTCGCAATACCCACACATTTCTTCAAGATCATCATCATCGATCCGAAGCTAGTGAACAGCGCACCCTATGCGGAGGCCTATGTGGTGCCCAACTCCTCATCTCTAAATGACGATACCCAGCTGCGTAGTCTGCTCTGCGATGTGCGTGATATTGAGAATTCGACGGGCTTGAAGTTCTTTGAGGGACTCGATCGCAACTTTGTCGATGCGCAGGTGGCTCAAAATCTAGAAACTTCCACATCTCCAATTAGTGATTAATTGTAATAATTGTGTAGGCTCTGTTGTTAAGGAGCTGTCGTAATTGAAAGCGTCTTTAAATAAATGATGTTGGCATGTTTTTGAAATTGTTTGCTATATTTTTAATGATTCACTATTCCAGATTAAAAGTGTAGCAAATTAAAATGAATAAATATGTACATTTTATTTTGATATTAGTTCTTAATTTAATGGAATTGTTCAACTGCATTTACATATTACCTAAATAAGTTTAAAAAAATATTTTTATTCTATTTACATATGAGAAATCGATAATTATTATGAGAGTATCAAATAATAAAAAAAAAAAATCACAAAAAGTTCGAAAGAGATTTAAAAAACAATAACACAGCTGTCGTAGAAATGCTCTCTAATCACATATATAATAAATTGAATCAAACACACTTTTGAGTTGTCAGTTTTCCAGTTTATGCTTTTATGAGCCATTCTTGGCAGCTGCTGTTGGTCGTGTCACTTGGTTTGGCATCCTCAGTTGCCTGTTTTGTGGCTGGTGTTTACTTTCAGCATAGCCATGCAACACGGCTGTTGCACAAGCTGGTTCAAAGAGATCCCTATGCCTGCTATATCAGTCCAAAGATCTATAAAGCGGTAAGTCAGCAAAGTTTACTCGTGGATATACAGCCTGAAATTGAGTTCTATTGGACAGTTTTGCTTTTTCGACACCGAGGACGGAACGGCGCATCGCGTGCAGCGAATCATGAAGTACGGCTTTCCTGGATTGGATGATGTGAGATTCTACAGTGACTTTGTGCTCTCCTATGATCGTCGCAATCGTGTCGCCCACTGGGTTTGCGAACATTTGCAAAAGTCGAATGTGCAAGGATTGCGAGGCGTTGGACGGGGTCGCGCCAACTATCGGTCAGATTGGAGTGTACCTTCCAATTTTCGTTCGACGCTAGCCGATTATCGACACTCTGGTTTTGATCGTGGTCATCTGGCTGCTGCGGCGAATCATCGCGACAAGCAAAGCCACTGCAATGAGACTTTTTTGCTGACGAACATTGCGCCCCAAATCGGGCAGGGTTTCAATAGCGGTGCCTGGAATAAGCTAGAGATCTATGTGAGGGAGCTAGCCCAGCACTTCGGATCAGTCTATGTGTGCACGGGTCCTCTGTTCAAGCCCCGACCTCAAGGCGGTGATAAATGGAACGTGGAATACCAAATGATTGGCTCGAACATGGTCGCGGTGCCCACACATTTCTTCAAAGTGATCATGCTGGAATCCAAGTTGCCGCTGGGCAAACCCTACATGGAGGCCTATGTGCTGCCCAATGCAACTCTACCGGAGAAACTGGAGCTGCGCCAGTTCCTGTGCGACATACGCGAGATTGAGCACTACGCGGGTCTCGATTTCTTTCAGGGCATCCGTAGAAGTGATATCTTCGGCAGCAACTATCCGAATGAATCGCAAGTTTTTCGAGATTTTAACTAAATTTATTGTGATGGAATTATATATAATAAATATAAAAATATAGCGCTACTGACAGATAAATAAATTTAATTTTTATTCAAAGTATCAATATTTCATACGAAATTCAATTCGCAATTTTCGTTTACCCCATTTAATATAATAATAGGAAAATAAAAATAGTTTAGAACTAACTAAATAAGATTTGTAATATTAATAAGATTCTTCTAATTCGCTCATTTAATATACCTCATTTATTTCGATTTTATTATGACCCTAAAAAAGAGGAGAAAACTTACAACACAGGCTACGCAGCTTGATTGAATTTAGGCTATCGGTTCGAAAAATCATACCATTATAGAAATTATTTATTCCTGTGTGCTGTAATCGAAATTTAGTAAAAAAAACTTTTTTCTCATTCTTTTACCTTTGCAGAAAGTAGGCTTCGATTTTTGTAACATTTTGTCGTTTATTTAGAATATCTGAAATATAGATTAATACAAAATTAAAAGTTAATAGGTGGCTTTAATATATATATCCATATTTTCATAGATAATTCTTTTAACAATTGCGAAGCTTATCAATGTCGCTCACAGACACGGGAGCCCAGCAATGTGCGCTCTATGCGATGGTGGGTCTAACAGGATTTATGTTCGGCGCCTACTTCCAACAGGAGAGTTCGATTCGCCAGCTGTTTGGCATGATAAAAAAGGATCCCTATCTGTTCCATCATCGCAAAAAACTATATCCACTTGTAAGCAAACATGTTTGTACATATGAAGGGAAATTATCGATAATTGTATGCCTTTTGGGTGCAGCTCTCCACTTTTAGAACAGATCTCGAGTCGAGACTGTGGAATCGTTCGATGTGTCTCACAGATAGAATTCGCAATCGTTTGGTCTTTTCACTGTTTGATGCATTTAGCTGCGTCTTTTTTGAAAAGAGATTCGAGATGAATTCGCCCGATTTGTTGGATCTGATCAAGTATGGTCTGCCCAGCACGGATAACTTATATGTACACAAGGATTATGTGGTATCGCAGGACCGCAGCACCAATGCGCCAAAATGGATGTGTGAACATCTGAAGGGCAACTACAAGAAGCTGACCACCGGTGCGGACGGCGATGCACTGCATCTTCGCTACAACGATGTGTACGTGCTGAGCTGCGGTGCAACGCGCACTTGTAAGGCCTTCCAGCGGGGAATCTGGCGCAAGCTGGAACAGCACGTAACCGAAATGACGGAGAAATTCGGCTCGGTGTATGTGTATACGGGTCCTATGTATTTGCCATCTTGTCGACTTAGCGAGGACTGGTCCTTGGAGTATCAAATTGTTGACTGGATTCCGCTGCCAATGCCATCGCACTACTTTAAGGTGCTCATCATTGACCCGCAACTGGCGGGCTGCAGTCCCTACATGGAGGGCTACATCATAGATAATAAAAATATGCCCACTAGCGTCAGCAGCAGCACCGAACTGATCGATTATCTGTGTGACATTGCCGAGATTGAGCGCCATACAGGTCTTCGATTCTTTGACGGCGTGCAGACAGTTGTGCGATTTGGGAAACACAAATACAAAATAGATAAGTCATCCGAGCAGCCCTCAGTACTTAACTGAGACGTTTCAGACAATTCCTGAGCATTTCAGCACAAATTCACAATCTTAAATAAAAACAAGACGTTTCAAGTCAAATAATCAGACCATTATATTTTAGTAAACTAAACAATTATTAAACAATTTCATTAACTTTTAATATTTTCTGATTATAATAACATAAAAATCCACTTTAGCATTTCATTAGCATTCGTAACTGACATTTAAAACATTGTGTAATAACAGTGCGCTGTTAATGTTAAATCTAGGTACTCAGATCGAAAAACAATTTTGCACTCACAATTTTGCCATTTGATAATGGAATCTGAAAACTAAAGTGCTGCTCCTTTTGTATTATTTTTGGTTTTAATTACTTCAATCAATTTTTATTAATTTCCATCAGCTACCTTTTGAAGGTCGTAAGCGTAATTCGAGCAGCTGCTTTAACAGTACTCATAGGTTATCAGTGTGATAACAGTGTTAATTTCAGTTGTGGTTTTCAGAACTGACGTAAATATTTCGCTGTATAATCAGTTGGTAGTGGCTGGAATGCAGCTTTATTTTTTTTGGGATTGCTGCAGTTGTTAAACAATTGTGCTCAATTTTCCGGCTAACTTAATAATGGCCAAAACGGCAACACTGCCTAAGACAACTGAGTGTTGCAGTGATTCGATACTCGTGATAACAAGCTATCGATACATCGTTACCGAACTATCTTCATTTTGAGCAACGACATATGTTTCTTTACTTCAAGCTGTCAACGAATAATGTGCATGATGACAAATATATGAATCAATCTTAGTGCACAATGTGACCGATATGGATGACTATACTTTGGAGCCTCGGCGAATCGAAATATGCTGCACTTCGTTAGTGCTATTTCATTTATTATATACCGTTTTCATTTATTTTCACAATTTGTTTTCAAAAATTTCGCCAAACATATCGAGCTCAGCAGAAGTGGTCATCATCTAATAGTTATCGATATATGTCGCACAGGCGACAACTTTACGTGGCAAACTGTCAAATGCAACCAATAAGCAGCAGCAGCAGAAAAAAAAATCGAATTAGCGAACTGACGTGGAAGTTCGTTTTTGCTTGGAATTTGTGTTAGGAACTACGTTACCTCTTGGAAAGTAGAAATTTATTGCACAAAACCAGCCAGCGAACGTAACGAGACACGATTATCGTCGCTACAGCGCCTGGCATCGTTTGAAGTCATTAGAACGTGAACGGGAACGCGAACTTTGAGCTGCAATTTTGAGCTGTGTTGTGTGAAAGTTGTTGCTACCTTTTTATGTGCTCATATTGAGACGCGGATAGAGCGATGAATCCCAATATGTATGGCCCACCGCCAACGCAATTCCAGCAGCAGCAGCCACAATATGCAGCAGCGCCACCTGTCAATGGACCGCAGACGGGTTGGCCACAACAACAACAGCAGCCAGCACAGCAACAACAGCCGCCGCCGCAGCAGCAGCAACAACAACAACCGCCGCAGCAGCACCAACAACAACCGCAGCAGCAACCACCACAACAGCAACAATATGGCGCTCCAACAACGTCCGCTCAGCAGCCTTTTGTCAATGGCAACTATCAGCAGGTAAAACAGCAAAACATTGTGCAATACTAAATTAAAACAACTTAAGCTTACTCTAGAAAAAAGAAGAACGTGTCGGCAATCGCTTTAAAAAGAGTGTGATTTAATCTTTAGTTTTTCTTTTACACTAAAGAGGTCAGCCAGCATTTCATAATGGATGCTGCCTGCCTGATAAGAATTCTCCACACACACATAATTGTATTGATATGGCCTGTACTTATGAACAACTCTCTTTCTCTCCGCCTCTCCCTGTCTCCGTCTCACTCCAGCTGGCCACGTCGATGAGCGGCCTGAGTGTGAGCGGCAATCCCTTGAAGCCCGCACAGCCGCCGCTGGCGATGTCTTCGGCTGGAGTTGGAGCTGCTCCTGCTGCTGTTGCTCCACCGACGCCGTACAATCAATTTAATGCAACTAGTAACGCCAACTTCAACAACAACAACAACGCCTATGCAAATGGCTCAATGGCTCCGCCAGCAACGCTGCCACCACCCTCCTCGCTGTATCCGCCCACATCGACCCCAGGACCAGCCACATCGGCTCCTGGACCAGTGCCGCAGAGTGTGCCCAGCGGCATTAACAAGATGACGATGAACAGCGCTAGTTTGGCGGGCTTGCCGCATATGCCACCACCAAAATCGGCGACACCTGGCCAACCGTTGCCACAAACATCCAACGTAGCCGCTGCGCAGCTGCCACCAGCTGGGCCAGGAGCAGCACCAGTACAGCCGACGTCATTAGCTCAGCAGCCGCCTGCAGTCTCAGCTGCTCCGCCCACATTTGCGCAGCCTGGAATGCCGCCTCAGCCGACTGCAGCTGGTGGACCAACTGGTATGCCTTATGGTGTGCCGCCGCCTGTCAACTTTCCGGGCGTCTACGCCACCAATCAGCAAGCTCCGGCACCGGCTCCGGTTGGGTTTCCCGGCGCGCCACCCTCGCAGGCTCAACCATTTGGTGCAGCTCCGCCGCCAACAGCCGGCTTTCCACAGCCTGGACAGCAGCAGGCGCAGCCACCGCAGCCTGGTTATCCACCTCAACCTATGCCCGGCTATCCACCACAGCCTGGACAGGCGCCGCAGCAACAACCCATGCCCGGCTATCCACCACAGCCTGGACAGAAGCCGCCCATGCCCGCTTATCCACCACAGCCTGGACAGCAGCAGCAGCAGCCCATGCCTGGCTATCCGCCTCAGCCGGGACAGCAGCCTCCCATGCCCGGCTATCCGCCACAGCCTGGACAGCAGCAGCCTATGCCCGGCTATCCACCACAACCTGGACAGCACATGCCGGGTTATCCGCCTCAGCCTGGCAGCTATCCAGGACAACCAGGACCCGGTCGTCCTGGCTTCAACGTAAGTAGAGCTTCTGTAGATTTATTTATATTGCAGTTAAATCTTTTATTTTAAAAAGTTTCCATACTCTCTTAAATCTAGCATTTACTATATATTTGAGGATTATAATACAAATTTTGCGTTTTGTTTTTTTTTTTTAGCAACCACCAATGCCAGGTGCTGCCAATATGTATCAGCAGGCACCGCCGCGTCGCCTCGATCCCGACCAGATGCCAAATCCCATACAGGTAATGATTGAGAATCAGCAAACGGCCGGCGGTGCCTTTGTGACCAATCAGGCTGGCCTGTTGCCACCACTGGTCACCACCAAGTTTGTGGTCCACGATCAGGGCAACTCCTCGCCGCGCTTCATACGCTCTTCGCTCTACTGCATACCCAACACGGGTGATCTGCTGAAGACGACAGCGCTGCCTCTATCGCTCAACATTTCACCGCTGGCGCGCATCGGCCAGGGCGAAATGGAGCCGCCAATTGTCAATTTCGGTGACATGGGTCCCATACGCTGCAATCGCTGCAAGGCCTACATGTCGCCCAATATGCAGTTCGTGGATGCTGGCCGGCGATTCCAGTGTCTCATGTGCAAGGTCACAACGGAAGGTGAGTGGAAGAAGGGAGAACAGGCAGAGACAAAGATTCCCAACTAATCACAATATGTTTGCAATTCTAAATATATAAATTAATATCTTGAAATGCTTACAGTGCATCCTGACTACTATCAGCATTTGGATCACACCGGGCAGCGTGTGGATAAGCACGAGCGACCAGAATTGCTGCTGGGCACTTATGAGTTTCTCGCCACGAAGGATTACTGTCGCGTAGGTTCCACAATGACAGCCACTATTCGAACCAATTTAACGTATTTTCTTTATTCTTTTTTGCTATAGAACAATACGACGCCAGAGGTGCCAGCGTTCATTTTTATCATAGACGTCTCGTACAACACAATTAAGTCGGGCCTGGTGCATTTGCTGTGCTCGCAGATTAAGCATATACTCAAGCATCTGCCAGTGGATCAGGGCCAGGACAAGTCGAAGGTGCGCGTCGGCTTCATAACCTACAACAGCACCGTGCACTTCTACAACATTAAGAGCAGCTTGGCACAGCCACAGATGATGGTTGTGGGTGATGTGCAGGAGATGTTTATGCCGCTGCTCGATGGTTTCCTTTGCCATCCCGAGGAATCGGCGGCGGTGATCGATGCGCTCATGGAGGAAATTCCTCGCATGTTTGTTGACACCAAGGAGACAGAGACTATACTCTATCCAGCCATACAGGCTGGCCTCGAGGCTCTCAAGGCCTCGAATGCCTCAGGCAAGCTATTGGTCTTCAACTCAACGTTGCCAATCGCCGAGGCGCCTGGCAAGCTCAAGAATCGCGATGATCGCAAGCTGCTCGGCACAGATAAGGAGAAGACGGTTTTGACACCGCAAACGACAGCCTACAATACACTTGGGCAGGAGTGTGTGCAGCAGGGCTGCTCCGTTGATCTGTTCGTGTTCAATAATGCCTACATTGACATCGCCACAATTGGCCAAGTGTCGCGTCTGACGGGCGGCGAGGTCTACAAGTATACCTACTTCCAGGCGGAGCTCGATGGCAAGCGTCTCATCGAGGACATCATCAAGAACGTATCGCGTCCAATCGCCTTCGATGCGGTGATGCGTGTTCGCACCTCGGCGGGCATACGACCCACTGAATTCTTTGGGCATTTCTTCATGACCAACACCACAGATGTGGAACTGGCCAGCATTGGTAAGCAGTTATAACATGTACAAAATGTACAATCTTAATACTATTTTTAATGCGTTTCCATAGATGCTACCAAATCGGTGAGCATTGAGATTAAGCATGATGATAAGCTGCCGCCGGAGGAGAACATCTATATACAGGTAGCCCTGCTTTACACCTCGTGCAGCGGGCAGCGACGATTGCGCATATTGAATCTGGCGCTGCGCGTGACTGTGACCATAGCGGATGTGTTCAAGTGCTGCGATCTGGACGCTATGATGCTGTTCTTTGCAAAGCAGTCGTGCTTCAAGCTGATGGAGCACTCACCCAAGCAGGTGAAAGACAATCTCATACAGCGAGCCGCTCAGATTTTAGCCTGCTATCGCAAGCACTGCACATCGCCAACATCAGCTGGCCAGCTGATACTGCCCGAGTGCCTCAAGCTGTTGCCATTGTACTCGTCCTGTCTGCTGAAGAACGACGCTGTCTCTGGCGGCTCCGATATGACTCTGGACGATCGCTCCTATGTAATCCAATTTGTGCTGGCCATGGATCTAAATATGTCCGTCAACTATCTGTATCCACGCTTCATTCCCATACACACCGTGGAGACTGATGAGACGTCGTTGCCGACGCCAGTGCGCTGTACCCATGAAAAGATCACCGAGGATGGCGCCTACATTTTGGAGAACGGAGTGCATCTCTTCGTTTGGCTGGGCCAATCGCTTTCACCCACTTTTGTGCAGTCGGTGTTCGGTGTCCAATGCACGCAGCAGGTGAATGCCGAGCGTTTCGCAATCACCGCGGATACGCCACTCGCGCGTCGCATTACGGATATTATCGATCAGATTATGAAGGAGCGTACGCGCTACATGCGGGTAAGTCTCAAGGATACCTAAAATCCCAACTGGAAAGATTTGTATTGATTATTAATCTTATATCGATTGCAGGTCACCTGTGTGAGGCAGAACGATAAGCTGGAGAGCGTGTTCCGGCACTTTCTCATTGAGGATCGCGGCACAGATGGCTCGGCTAGCTATGTGGATTTCCTGTGCCACATGCACAAGGAGATCAAGGACCTGTTAAGTTAGCACGTAGGCAGCGCGTACAAACTGCCGACTGCCATCAGCATTGCGACTGAGGAGCGCTGGTCCAGGAGCTACTCACAGAATCGGGCACGGATGCGTCGCCTATCGCTGAACAGTCGTCGTTTCAAATGAGCGTGATGGCATCTATTTATAGCATAAAGCGCAGTAAAACACTTCAATTATATATATACATATATACATATTTAGCGCTGCGACTTCATTGCGAGGCGGTTAAATCTTCCATAATTTTTTAATTAAACTTTCCACATATTTTGCATGTTCTCTTCGATGTCAATCTTTAGTATTCGCTATGCTTATCTTGTGTGTGTATGTATGTATTCCTGCGCTATAAACATTTGTTAAACGAGCAAACGCAATTAGACAAATACTTTATTTCTGTTCAATTCCGTTTCCTTTTTTTGTTTGTTGTTTACCATTCAAAATCCATGCATATTTTTAATTCAATTAAAAATATAAGCGGCCTTAGCTAAAAAAAAAACCGTGCATTAAGCCCGAGGCGCTGAAGAATGAGAACACTGCATTCGTGTCCAAAATATATATTTACCTGCATCAGCACACCACCCCATTTACGACATACATATATATAGAAAAGTTTCTAGAACCAGCATTATAATAAAGAAAAAAAAACATAATTTGCAATACTGTTTTGTGCGTTTACTACTTACTACGTTTATAATTCGTTATTCGCTTTAAATGTACCTTCTGAATCGTAAATCAGATGATTATTATTATTATATATAACGTAAATGTTTTGCGTGAGAATTTTTCTAATTTTACTTGGTATATGCGGCCCTCTTTTCCCCTATCCCCTCAAAAAAAGAGGAAAAGATTAAAAATGAAATAAAAATCTTTATCAAAAGAAAAAACTTGTTGCCTTTTCATTCAAGAATATTATGTGTCATTCTTATAAATATTACAGTTAACGATACGAATTTCAACCAACAACAATTTCCAATCAATAGTTGCCCAATTATTTCAGCAATTTAAAGCTGAACTGTGTTAATATAGTCAATGTTATTTCGCCATTCTACTCACCATTTTAGTACTTTAAAGACTCCAATAAAAGATATAGGTAGTATTCTGTATATGCATTGTATATTGTATTGTATTTATTAGGCCTTTAAATATCTAGAATTATTATTATTTGACGTGCACATTTTACATTTACATAAATTTATAGATTGTTTTTTTTTTCTTCTTCATTCGTTTTGTTTGTTTAGAAAAGTTTCTCGATTTCAATGTTCCCGAAATATATAACAATTAAATAAACACTGCCTATAATGCCCCTTCTCTCCTGTTTGTCTGTATGTTTTGTATGTTGTTTAGTTGTTTATCAAAATCACATATGAACAATTAACCTTAGTTTAAATTGAAGTGGAGCATAGCTAATCAGACAGTATACAGAAGATATAACAGATTTCTCTCAGATTTATAAACATTTGTGGATGCATCAGAGTTGGCTGTTTGGCTCTTACAATTAACGTTAAGATTATATAATTACATAAAAAAACCTGTCGCAGCACATAATATTATTTATACTTTTTCTTTCTCAGTTTTATTTTTATTTTTTTTTTGCAGTTTACAACTTAATTATTATGTTTAGACAACGACGACTTTGATGAAATTTTGATTTACTGTTTCTTATTCGTGTGCCGAAATTGCTGTAGAATAAACCGAACACATTTTATGGAATAATACGGCAATAATAATTGTTATTAAAATTCAACTATAAGCTAACATTTCGTTTATTTAAATAAATTGCGAAATACAATAAAACGAATGATTTACGATTTGACATTAGGTCGGCATATAGGAAATGAAATATGTTTAAATATATATATATATATGTCTCAAAATCCTGCGCCAGTGTTGCACTGTCGTTTTGAAATGAACTCAAGGAAATCCGATAAGTGGGCGGCGCGTCTCAAACGGCGCCTTTCGGTTTAAAAACAAGCAGCCTATGTTTTTTATTTGCTGTGAGTGTGTGTGTGTGTGTGCGAGTGTATTGCGTGTGAGTGTGTGTGTGTGTGTTGTGTGTGCTGCTAACTGTTGTGGTAGCCAGATTTGGGAAGTGGTGTGGAGTTGGGCGATCGCCCTATTTCGTAAACGCCATAAACACAGCCCAAAGTATTTCATTCGCATTCGGCTTGGCCGCCTCCGTTTCAAAGTCGAGATCGAGCAGTTCGCGTACTCGCTTCATGGCCACCTCATAATCATCGTCGTTGAGCGGCGCAAATGCGTTCTCGATGACGTCACTGGCATGCGCCAAAAATATCAGCGCCAGCATTCGCTTGTCCATGCGCTGCGGATCGTTCACCCACTTGGAAAGTACTGAATCCTGAATCTGCAAAGCCACATAAAAATGCGTCAACTGTAGCATTTTCTAAGTTACTTAGAAATTAAGTCCGAACTGACCTTCTTGACCAAACGACACTTGACCACATTGTCACTGAGCGGATGTGTCGTCATGTCGAAGAGCAAAAAGTTTTGCTTTTCCGTTGTGAGCACACCCTTCTCCACGAGGTTCTTGGCCAGACGCTCTCGCACATTTTTCAGCTGGTAACGCAATTTCAATGGGTTCCATGTCTCGCCTGCAACAGCAATGCAACAAATGCAAGAATTCAGTAAACGGCATATATATTATTAGAAATAGAAAATACACACGCACCACTGAGATATTCGATCCAACTTTGCACCGTCTCTGGCGGATCTGTTTCCTTGATGTGTTTCAGTGCCTCATCCAATAGAACATCGCCAGTCTGCTGATCTGATTTCAATATCAGTTTTCTGCAACAACAAAAGTTTAGTTTCGGGTTTAGCTGGGATGATGCTCAAACTCTGATAAATGTACCTTGTGCACAAGCCACGTCGTCGCATGCCCGATTTCTCGATCATCACACGTCCGCGCAGGCCCAGCTCAATAAGGATGCAACCGCGCAAGCCGCTTGATATGCAATCATTCCAGAACGATGTGTAACCCTGAAAGGATTCAAATGAAATAGAATTCTAAAATTTGATACACGCAAAGCAATTAAGATCTGATGATTAATATACATGTATATATATTATATTCCACCCACTTTAATAATGTACTTAAAAATAACAGCTTTCGAATAATTTCAAATACAAAATAAGAGAAGGTAATGCTTAAATTGCACTATCCCTATAAAAGTACACATTAAAGTGCTATTTTTAAAACAGAAATCAAATAATCAATATTAAGAGAGAACAAATGTTTAATGTGTGTAATTTAAATGTGTCTTCAGCTGTATATATGGGAGGAGAACATTGTCAACATTGTCATGTTGTCTAAAGAACTCCAAACATCTTTCAGCTTTTTTGCTGCTGGCAACTGTTCAAAGTTGAAACAGATGCCAAGATAAAAAATAAATATGTTTTATGTCTCTCAACAATATACAGAATAATATAACAAGTAAATCTATGTATATGTCCACCTAGATCGATAACTGAGAATCCTTATAGAAAGTTCAATGGGGCACATCAAATTAGTCACTGCGATTCCCCACTCATAAATAGAAAACTAATTCTAGTTTCTTATATATGAAAATGATGATAAGAACATGAAACAATTCAGTTAACGACGCGATAAGTGGCTAAGGAAACAAAAAAAAGAGAAGAGGACAAAAAAAAGCACTTCCTCAAATTAGCTAAATTAAAGAAGACGAAAAAAAAGGGTGATAAGAAGGCAATGCAAGCACTTGAAGAGAGCAGAAACCATCTAAATTTCAGAGTGATCAGAGCGAAGAAAAAGCGACACGTTCAAATTCAAAGACGTCAGTTTTTGTATGGGGGTGTTGGAGATTGGGGTGTGTTGGGGAGGCGTGTTGCGAGAGTGAGATGATAAAGCACGAGGCAAAACACAGCCATTAGTGATAGCAATTTGACAATTACTTGGAATACCCTATACGGTCACGTATGGGTATATTATATAGAACACCAAAGAAATCGCCAATTGCTCCAAACATGTGCGACTTTTATGAGTATGACGACAACGTTAATATGCAAATAACAAGCTGACAATAAATATAAAAGGCTGCCAAAACTTGTTTCAATGTTGACAAAGCTTAATGGTAAATACTTTTTTTTTATTTGATTTAAGCATTAATTTCTTAAAGAGAAGTTTTTATATTTTGCTCATGGAGTTTAGGCTTTAGTGATCGTTCTTAACTCAACGATTTAAGACGACTAAGTAGCAGATCAAATTTTAGACTTGTCACAACAATTTCTAAGCCCAGTGGCGAATAGGTCAAAAGCCAAAAGACCAAACAAATAAAAAAAAAACACTGCTAAACTCGTCGTTCTGCTTTTGTTGGCGGCGTGTGCACAGCACATACTAAGATAAATAGAGGCTTTATAAGACCAAAGGTGGTATTGATGTTAACGTTGTTAACGTTAAAGACAATATTCATTGAAGTAACCTAACAACAACAAAAGGGTTAAGCTCAAAGCGATTGGTTGAAAAAGAGCGAAAAGAGCGAGAGATGAAGAATGACGGAAGCTGCTTATTAAAATGAAAACTTGGCTGCTTTGTTGTCATCGAAGTGCAAAGAGGAAGAGAGAAAGAGAGAGATAGATAAAACTGGGACACACTGCGAAATACTCGCATAAATAAACATATTACTAATTAAAGATAAGCAATAAATGGTACACGTATTTGCAGCTGATAAAATTATCACAATTCTTATCACACACACACACACCTCCTTATCCTTGAGACCGAGCAGCAGCACCTCCTCCATGAGCGTTAGTCGCGTCTCCTTCGAGTCGCCATCATCGATGTTATCCTCGTGATCCTTGTTGCTGTCGTGCGTATCCTGATTGTCATCCCCCTCATTCGCATTCAGACCGCCACCAGCGCCACCGCCCTCGGCTCCATTCTCGCGCGGCTTCACAGCTCGCCTAACCAAGCCATCGGTGCGATTCATTGCTTCTTTTTTTATATTAGTGAATTCTATTTTTTTTCTTTTGCTTATTTTTTTTTTGTATGTGTGGCACACAATTGATGACTGAGCTGCCTGCCACCTGCCTCCTCTGGTTGGTTGGTTAACTGTGTGCGTGCGTGTGATTCTCTTTCTCAGTATTTACTTTGTGTGTTTTTATTGTATTGCAAGTGCTGCTTCTTATTCGTTGTGTTTCTTTTTTTTGTACTTTTGTCACACTTTTCGCTCTTGTTTTTTTTTTGTGCACTGGAGAGATGCACCACGAACTACGTCGTCGTCTTCGTTGTTTAACTCTTTCGCTTTTGCCAAAACTATAAAATTTATGTTGACACTTTTTTCGAAATTAATTAAAATATCATACTAAATGTACGATTGCATATTTTTATATTAGTTTTTATCTATTTAAACACTTGCGCGTATTGAGCTTTATAATTTAGTTTTTGTGTCTTTTCTGTTTCTCCGACGTGACATTTTTCGTCTAGTGTTGGACAACGTCGCGCACTCCGCACTGAATATAAGTCACGATTGAAGCATTTGTTACGCGATGCGTTTGTAACTAACCAAAAAAGCTATTAATTTATTTTGCATGTGGTACTCGCACATTACACAAAATGGATTCAAATGAACTCAATGTACTTACTAATGAACAGCTGTTGCCCTCACTCTAGGTATTTAGCAACACTCTTACTGCGGCTCGTTGTGAATGACTGCGTCTCGTTGTGAGTGAGTGTGTATATTTGGTAGTTAGAGACAATTGGTTTGCAATCTGTTTGAAAAAAAATAAAAATAAAACTTGTTGGAAATGTCGTATTTGGCGAGTTTTAATAATGAGAGTGCAAAGCAAATACTTATGGACATAATACGCACTGTGAATCAGCCCGAGAACTCAAAAAAACTATCGGAGGCAAAGGCGTCAGCTGGCAAGGAAATGATTCTGATGATGCAGCATGTTTTTCCACTCGTAATGCAACTGCAACTGGAGGTGATCAAGGTACACGGATTCCCCGGCAATCGGGAGGGACTCGTCCAGTTCTCGCAACTGATACGCGAAATGGAGCGTGACGACATGGAAATAGCCCGGCTTCGAAGCCAGATACGCGCCATCTACTTGCCACCGATTGCCATCAACACTACCAACGATATACTCATCTGAGATCTAATCGGTCTACAATATAATAAATAATATACAAATTTAAGACTGCAATAGATATAAGTACTTCATACTTTTGTAAATTTATACGTGTTTTCTCTGTATTTGTTGTTTTGTATATAAATCGATTAAACTACCAATAAAGCTGGGTTAAAATCTCCGACAAAGCAAAACAGACAAACCCATTTCAATTTCTTACAATTTAATTTCGCCAGTTGTCTGGGTTTAAGTTTAATTTCAGCTTAAGTAACATGGCATATCTCGTAAATAAACAATAAAAATATAGTTTCTTGCTTTTGCATTAATTTAACAATTGTCTTGGTATTTCTTCGATTTTTTTCATGTATCTCGCATGATATGTTTGTAGTTAAACAGCCAAATTATAGTTGATAAATTAAACAAATTTGTTCAATACCTTAAAGTATGTTAACTTATAAACTATGTATTGTTTGCCTTTTTTATATAGTATATACACCACAAGAAGTGAGCTGCCTGTGCAGTTTGTGTCCGATGAAAAACAAAAATACAGACAAATTAAATCGTAAGTCGAGAGCTAAGATTACATTACTAAATGTGAGAAATGGGAGTAGTAAAACTCTAGCGAGTGACGTCAGCGTGTGTTTTGTTGTTCTTGTTGTTGCTCGGTTGCATTTGCACATTTCTATTTTGCAAGTCGTCTGTGGTCAGCTTGACGGGGTTTATGTGAGTTAAGTCATTGCCATTGTTGAGTTTATGGCCAAGATGCTGGAGCTGGTTGGCAAAGTGAGCATCCTCCGCACTTTCCCCCTCATTCGTAAGCGACAGCGACATGGGCGAAACTGGGGTAAGCGGTGTTCGGGGCGTATTTGTGGCGCACAGCTCCTCAATCGTTGAGTCGCTTTGCGTTGACGGTGATGTGGAGCGCGAACGCACCGGATACGCTGCATCCAGGGGCTGGGCAAAGCCGTGTGTTATCAGAAGATCACCGATGTTCACCTCAACGCCCTCGGTTGGATCGAACAGTTCGACGCCGGGCAGCGGGGTGCCATCGCGTGTGGCAGCATTCACCCCACTCGCCACCTTTGGGCGCTCCTTGTAGGTCACAACACGAGCGATTAGCTTGCGCCAATGGGCAACTAACAGGGGGGAAAATAAGGTGATTTAGTTTACGGATATATAATATAATAATAAATAATATGTACCCTCTGTGAGTTCCTCGAATTTGCATATGGATGATTTAGTCCAAGTCGTGGGCTCATCTGTAATAGTTGACTTGACGTTCGCCAAGAAGCATTCAACTGCTTGGAATCTAAATGAGAACATTAATATATTGATAATCATATATATTGTTTAATAACCACCTCAGAGTGAGGAAATCGGTGCGCAGTTCGCAAATGTCCGCTGGTGAGATGTACTCGCTGTCCCCATAGTCCACAAAGTACAGATCGATGACCAGCTCATTGGGATTGTACTGATTGGGCATAATGTCGACAATTTCGGCACGATACCATTTCTCATCGAATTTGAAGACGGCAGCCACAATCTGACCCACATAGGGCTCTGTCAGCTGATGCGCTGCCCGATTATCGGCGCTGCTATAATAACTGGTCATCTCCTTGACCATGTCGTCCAGTTTCTTGGACTGCGGCCCCACCAGCTGCACCCAGAATTTGGTGGGCGAGGCAACCGCCGAGACATACACCTCCATCGGCTTGTCGTCGCCGCGTGCTGCCATTAGTTTGTCCCGCGGTGGTTGCGAGCTGAGCGACGTCTGCGAAGAGTACATGCTCGAGTTGAGACTGTAGCTGGGTGAGCGACGCGGCTCGCGCAGCTGCTCCACCTCGTCGACGGCACGACGCAACTCTTCCTCCTCCTCGATCTGGTCCTCAAGCAACTTGCGTGCAATGTTCACCTGCTTCTGGTTGCCAACGATGCTGATCTTGGCTTTGCCATTGCGTCCATTCGGATCAACGCTGAGCTTCGCCAGCGAGGCACGACTAATGTCCTGAATTATTTCGCCGCCGCGTTTGTAGATCTTGTTGGCCAGTCGCTGCGTCACCTGCAGCTCCACCTTGACAATCGGTGCACGCTCAATCTCCCGGATGAGCAGCCCACGGGCCGCTTTCACCGCATCGGGCAGTCCGTTGATGTCGCAGAATTTGTGAGAACTGTCTTTGTCGCTGATTTTTAGAAATGTTGGAATACAAAATGGAAATCAATTAATGAAGTGACTAACGAGGATAGTAAACTAAAAGCTTAAAATTTTAGTTTCCATCAATTTTGGCAGTATGAATTTATATACTTATTTATTAATTATATATTTTATATTGATTACGATCGAATTACTATTACTATTTTTATTTAGTTTTTAGTTTTTGAAAGTAAATAGACTGGATTAGATTCTCTCTATTTACCCTATTATTTTAAATTCCTATCTCTGCTGAAGCATTTAATCTTGTCCACACATTAAATTCCGTTCTCTTGGCTTCTAAGCCAAGCATTTAATATTTACCGTAATCTTATCTTTGCCCCGGTCTTTTCTTCAATTAGCTTAATGTTGGCACCGCCGCGTCCGATTATCAACGGCACATGGTCATTGTCCAGAACGATTTTGAGACAGATTTCCTTTTGTTGTTTCTGTTGTTGTTGCTGATTCTGCTGTTTGCTGTTATTGGCTCCCTCCCCCTGCTCTTCGGGCGTGTCATCATTGCGGGACTTGAAGTATGCATAGAGCATGGCGCTGCCCAGTGAACAGAGACCGAAGCCCAACAGCAGTTTATAGGTGGGCGTGCCGGCAAAAGGTGTATTGCGCAACATTCTGTATTTGTTTTGTATACTAGATGTGTGTGTTTGTTTGTTGGCTTCTGTGTGTGTTTGCGAGTATTTCACTCTCCCCTTGTTCTGCTTGCCTTGCCTCTCAAGTGTGCATCAAACTGCAATGGGATAGAGAAAGAGGTCAGAATTAGGCAAAGTATATGTCAAATATTAACGGAACATTGCGTGCACAAATGACGCACATTTGTGCATATTTTTATTACGGTACAGAGAATCGATAATTACAAAGACGAGACAATTGTTGTAGTTGTAGTTGTTGTTGTTACTCTTCACCCATTAACAGAAGAAAACTTTAAGAGTAAGTTTGATTTGACGGTTATACAATAGAATTGTTATCAGTAAACTATTTATGAAAATGTGCATAACAAATGGAATTTATAATTAATTTTCTTTTTTGGCAGAGACATACACAAATGACAGCAGCAAAACAAATATACAGGTGACGTTAACGCTTTAACACTGTGCTGCAAAATATTGCTATTAATTTGTACTTACGACGAATGCACTTTGCAGTCGCAGATTCTACTAAAATATTCACACACATTTTCAACAATTTCAAATATAAAATGATTAGTTTTGCTTGATTGAACATATACATAGTACAGTGTCAGAGAAAGTCGTAAAAATCCATTTGCAGCCTCATTGAGAATCACGTAATCCGCACAGCGTAACGTTAAAGTTAAAACTTTCAACTTAAAGTGAAAACGCTGTTAAATCTCAGTGTTAAATTTTAAGCTTTTCCCCCACTTGTCCTTCGAGAAACAAGTTTATGTGCTCTTCTACCAGAGACCGGTTTAACAGCACCAATTGAGAATTATGCGCTTCCGATGCAAAGCGATTCTCTATGTTATCTAAATTAAATTAAGTATAATTGCTACAATATAAAAAAAAATTAAGCTGCTGACCTTGATAAGGGATTTTGTTTTGATTATTGTGATTCGTTTTAATTTTTTTCAACACTATAACTCAATCAACCGTTCTCCGATTGATTTGATTTTCTTTGATCGTTCGGAATCGTTTCGTTTATTTTGTAGAATGAGCAAACAATAATGAAATCAACAGAGCGCTTAACGGCATCGATCCGCTTCGCATCGCTCTATTCACTTAACTGTTGCAATTATTTGAATGGACGCCGTATTTTCAATGCTGTGTCAGCTGTTTGACCACTGTCTCTCTTTCTAGCTCTCTTACTGCCGCTCTCCTCTTGCAGTTGTGCTCTCTGACTTTTTTATTGTTTATTTCGCCGGCTCCTTTTTATTATGGGCAACAGTTGGGACAGATTGGGGTGGGGGTTAAAATAAACATGAATTGGCAGAGGCAAGCAAATAATGGATTATTAACAGTGCCAAATGGGCAAAATAAAAGCAATTAAAATTGTGCGATAATAATATAGAGAGTGAGAGGGCATTTCAGACAGACAGGCAAAAGAGCGCTTTGAATTCAGAGTATTTTAGCTGCGTGCGCTGAAAGCTAAATTTAGTTAAATGACATAATAAGCCGTTCGTTGACTGTTTACTTTTTTTTTTGAGTTGCGTTTGCTGCTCAATAAAAGGACGCCAAGCCAAAGTCAAACATTGATTTTAGTTCTTGAGTAAGTGCGTAATACACATATGTACATTGTATATATGTATATCTATGCGTATTATTGAGATAAGAACAACTCTGATTAGAACATTTTCCATTAGTATTATTCAAAAATTCATAAATACAACAAAAAAACAAGGGTCACGCGGTGAAAATTGTTGGCAATGTTTCAAATTTGCTGTTGCTAAATTAAAACAAATCAACAACAAATGAAATATCTACGTCATTTTCAGGTCTTTAAGTCGGCAATGTGTTCTGTATTTAAAGTATTTCGGTCCAGTCTATTATTAATATTTGCCATAAGCTTTAGCTGTGGGTAAATTTATTGTCACAACGAGTAGAATACACAGCGTTAATTTTTGGCTCCACGCACGAATTGAACGCCAAACGAGAACTGATAGTAAAAGTGATGCAAAAGCAAATCTCAAAGCGTGCGTCGATTGTAAAAACTTACTTGACTTTGTTGCACTATTTTGTGTAGTTATACTTTTAATCTGTAATAGCCATATGCGTATTTAGCTGGAAGCACAATGTTTAGAAAATGTAGGAAATGCATAAATTAAACGAATTGACATCACAATTGGATGGGATGATAAAAACGTGTAGAATAGAATTATATCAGAATTCGGAATCGGTTCAAAGGAACGAATGAACCAAATGACGGTGTGGTTCATCTAAGTAGTTCGTTCGCAACGAAAACAAAAATCATATGTTTTTGACAAATACAGGCGAGACTATGATCCGCTGTTATTGACAGCGGTAAGTATTGGAAACGCATTGTTAGACTATACAAAAATCTAAATTACTCATTTTTCACTTCTAACCTGGAAGGAATTAAAAAATGCAATAATTAAGAAGTAAAATTTGTATTGCTAACAATTCCTATTGCTTAAAAACTCCGTTAGTCCGAACCAGTTCGATATAAACTAAGTGTTGGAAACCGTTCAAATTGAAGTGGACAAATATTTGGATTTGAAATTGGCGCTAATAGCTTTGGACATTTCTTTGCGTCATTTATTTGTGATTTTTAATTTGTTTGTTTTGTTCTATGTATGTATAAAATGCAATTGAGCAGCTAATAGCTGATAGGTCATAATAAACTTATGCTATGGGCACATTAACCGCGGTATGTATATATATATAAGTACAATGAACACTTTTCAGTTTAAGGCGAACCATATGGCATGGGCGTATCGTAGTATATATATAGTAAATAGTAATAGTAAATGTAGTTGCTCTGCGTGAGCAGTTAGGAAATCTCACGCAATGCATTCGGCTTGGTGCCATCCATGTCAAAGCAGCGACAATTGCACGAGGAAACTGGGCACTCGGAGTTTTGCCTGCAAAAAGATTGAGATTGAGCTTGATATTTATATGCTATATATGGAGTTCTAGTTGTTACGCACTTGAACCACTGCATAATGTGCTCGGTGTGACCGCCGTGGCGGCAAGTCTGACACCAGGCGAACCACTTGGAGAACGGTTTCATTGGCCAGCCTCCTTGCAGCTCCGTTGCGTTGGAGACGGAGGAGGATGCATTTGTGTCGCCGGCACTCATATTCATCATGGTGCCCATGTGCATGAGGCACAGTGAGCAGCGGGGCAAGGGCTTCCGACAATTGGGGCAGGATGATAAACGGTTTGTGCTGGTGCTCGTGCTGCGCGTTCGCGGCTCATCGAGCAGCGCATTGGACACGGATTTGCCACAGAAATTGCAGGAGAGGAACACAGTGCGCGAACTTCTCGCCGATGGACGTATATTCTCGATTTTAATATCCAGCTCGGCGCGCTTCTCCCACAGACCCCAGCTATTGAGATAGTCCAGGTAGCTGGCTATCCAGTACTGGATGCGCTTGTCCACAAAATGCTCGTTGCGGAAATAATTGATGGCCACCAGTGCCACAGTTTGCACATCGAAACTGGCATCCATATAGGCTTGCAGGATGTTGATGCCATCCAGCGATTCTCCAGTGAGCAGCAGCCCATTGAGATCACCGCATTCGATGGCGCGCTGAATGCGCTGCTTCACATAATCCGCCAGCTTCGTCTCCGACAAATATTTGCAGGCGAAGGCAACGCGATCAGCGAGCGAGACGCCCTCCTCCCGGAGTACCGCCTCAAAGTTGTCCGCCTCCATGGTGAGAAAGGAGAAGATGGCACGCAAATGCGGATCCTGGATTTGCATATTGGCACTGGAGCGCTGATTGCGCCACGTCGAACTGCAGCGATCCGCATTGAAGCTGGACAAGGCGATTGCAGTAATCCGATACATGCTCGGATCACGCATCTTATCTGCTGCCCGCGACAATATATTGCACGCGGCGAGCACCTTCAGATGGAACACACAGATCATGGCCGCTCGACTGAACTCCTTGCTCGCGTACAGCTCATCGATGAAACGGTCCAGCTCCTGCTCAATGGGCCAGCCGCACAGCTTCAGTGCCAAGTCCCGCTGTTCGCTTCTGCAAAATGGAAATGGGATCTTGGTTAATGACACAGGCATTTAGTTATAAGGCAATGTGTTTAACGTGAGCACCTGCCGGAATAAACTCTAAAACAGTTATGGGTTGGTGACCCTTTTTCCCCGGGCAAAGGATTTATTTAAGACAAGATGCGGCTTACCGATAGCAGACCAGTTTGTTGGAATTGTTGATGCCATCGGGCCATTGCAGCAGTTGTGATTCGATGCGCGAACTGGCCATCAGTGCCTCTGAGGTGTGACCCAGATTGACGCCCAGCGTGGCCTTCAGACCCGTCAGCCGATCATCGCAGTGGACATTCGTCAGCGTCATCCACACATTGCGCAAATACGGCGTCAAATGCTGTTCGACAAATCGTTTGTTGTCCGGCCGCATGCCGTAATCTTGCTGGGCACGCTGACGTGTCTCCTCCAGCAGATCTTCCTCGAACAGCTCACGCTCCAGGAAATCAAAGCTCAGAGATGAGCCAACACTAAACTCGTTTAGCGAGCTGGCGACGCTGTTTGTGCTGCAACTGCTCGTCGTCGTCGTCGTTGGCTGTTGGCTGCTGCCAGCCGTTGGCGAGGCAACGACTCCGCCACCGACTCCGCCTCCTGCTGGTGCATAAAGTGGACGTTGCATGAGCAACGGCAACTTGCTGCGATTGCTGTACGCCGTATGCAAACTAGCTGGCAGTCGAAAATCCAGGATATTCAATGCATCAGCCAGCAGCAGTGCCCGTTCAAAGTCACGCGGATGCCACGACAGCCAATTGACAGCGGCAAATTTGCCACTGTGCTGATACTTGGCCGGGAAGGGGCTAATTTGTCGCTTCACATGGTACACGTCGCGGCTGGACTCGTTGTCCACGCTGCGTATATCGTAGAGCGTTATATACGGCGAGTCCCGCTGCAGCGAGGACAACAGCGAAGATCTCGTTGGACACCAGGCGATCTGCATGTGATTCCGTGAGGATGCAATCTGGCGCAGTGGTCGCTCAATTGCACGCAAATCCCACAACATAATCACCGAATCTACATAGCTGCACAGATAGTTGCCGTTGGGAGCCACAGCGAGTCCCTGCACCGTCTTCGTCTGTATGGACTGGCAGGTGGCGTTGCTCTCTGCAAATCAAAAAAACAAGATGAGGGATTTTATAGAAGAGGAGCATGAAGTGGGTTTAGCAATTACGTCGCAAATCGAAGAGTTTGATCGACTTCTGGCTGATGCCGGCGATGAGCACGCGATGATTGTGATCCCAGCAGAGTGAATTCGCTGCCTCGGCGACACCAAAGAAATTGGCCGTCTCCTTGGGCACGCCACGCTCAATGTCCCAGATGGTGATACACGAATCGGAACGATGTTTATCATGCCCGATGGCCAATATATTCGCATCCAGCTCATGCCACGCAAGGCACGTGCACATGCGTTGTTGTCGCGGCGCTAAAATAGTTAACGGATCAGATTGGAAATTTGTGAGTTTGTCTGGCAAGAATTGGATTTGCTTACTGTACTCCCAGCTGCTGTCGTAGGTGTCCCGGAAATTGCATATGCCAATTTTGCCATCGGCCAGGCCAACGGCAATGATAGGCTGATCGCTGTGATAGGAGGCGGCCACGCAGCGGGCATATTGATAGCGAGTCTCGTTGCTCAGATAGTTGACGGGAATGTAGGGAAGACGACTCTTCTGGCTTGGATCGTCCTTGGTGCGCACCTCGTACAGACTGATCTCCTGGCCCCAGGACACGAACTTGTCCGGGAAGTTGGGGAACCAACTGATGCCGTGTATGTTGCCGCTCATATTGAGCTAAATTTTGGGGGGGAGTTCTTTCTTTTTGCTTGCACAACCAAATTGCGTCGCTTCTTATCAGTTTGGAGCAATAAAAAAAAGAATATCACCAAACAACAAAACAGCTGATAGTGCAGTTAGAGATGGGCGATATAAAGTGACTGTTATGAGGAGCAAACGTTAAGAGGAGCAGAACTGTTAAGTTAGCAGAATGATAGCGCGAAAATTTGAAATTGTACACTAGTGGATTAAAGAGTACATAACAAGGTAATGCTACGTATTACCATTTCATACTCAACAAATTTTAATTATTTCAACTATTATTATTTCCATATCGCACCACCTATCGTAGACAAGTGCACACAATATTTGCTGAATTCTTTTTACAGATAATGCTACATTGTCATATCAAGCAGCTTTAAATCATCTCAAACTGCAGATGGCGCTAGCAAGCAACTTTGAATTTTAAAAAATCTGATTTAGTTTTAATAATTGAGATTTAACCATCTGGCTAACATATCCATCCAATCTACCCGATATGCCACACAGCTGGCATATATTGTTCGGCTTGAGTGCACACCCATGTTACTACAGATAACGCTGCTTTATAAGGTGCGCATGGGTAACTACTCAAGTGAATCAACGTCATAAATACATAATTGTCGTCTAGGCAGACTTCTTATATATATACATATATAAAAATATGTGATGAGCTGAGCTGTGGTTTGCTGCCTTTCAGTTTTCAGTTGTGGCCAATTTATTGATCGAGTAACTAAATGCAATTGATATGTGATTTGAGTGCACATAAAACCAACGCGTCAATTCAATTTAGTACATTTAAAACAACACACAAAAGCGTAATGTTTTGTGATAAATAACCAAAATAAATAATAAAAAGAGACTCATGCAGATGCGGCATGCGTCATGCGGTGGCACAGCGGAAACGGAAACGGACACAAAGCAGCATCAAAAATGTCAGCCAATAATGCGTGGACCTTTTTCAGGTCAACTGCAGCCGACAATCAGTAGTCTCATATTTATTCATAAAATATCCGCATAGTATAATCATCATCATCATAATCAGTGTACGCTTAATGCATTTGTTATTAAATACAATAAATTGAAAGCAAAACAAGAAAATTAATATAAAAAATAAATTAATAGTAATGATTATGCCCTGGGCCCTGGTCAACTAATTAGCTATGAAATATAAATTTGACTAATTGCGATTGGGGCTTTATGCAACATAAAGAAAGATCTGAAACCCGGTTCGCAGTGTCCACTGACCAGTGTCCAGTTCCTGTGATTCCTTCTAGATTTATTGCACTGATTTATGTGCATTTTCACATTGTGATTTGTGCCTGCTATTGAAATAAACCATGAATATCTATAGAAAGGCGCGTATTGTGCATTTACCACATATATAGTATAAATGTGGTAAATATATGTATAATATAGATATTTCTGTGCTTGTGTTGTGCATGCAATAAACTCAAATAAATATTTTGTGCCACTTAATTTAATTTGTGTGCTGAATGTGAAAACATTTTGATATATTTTCGGCTGTCAACTATTCAACTATTTTCAATATAGTTTTTAGGTAAGTGCTATCTAAAATTCTATTTGAATTAATGTAAAATAAATATTTCATTTGTTAAGTATCGAAATAGGTCATAAAATATATTATTTCGATTTGTGTAAATGGACAGTGGCAAATGCTTAGAAAATGGCTTAATTAACTAGATTGATAATTGCCTATCCATAATATAATAATTATTTCTATTGTGTTGTTTTTTTTATTCATAAAACGAGTTAGTACTCGAGATACCCTCGACTAGGAGATATCCTGAATAGTTTATATATATATATATAGCTGATCATAGTTTGTATAATGTGAAATTACCTGTTGCTTAAGCAAATTTAGGTTTAAATCGCCTGCTGATCAAGAATAAATATACCCATTCACAGCTTCATTATACCCATTATAGAGTTATAACAAATGTTTGCCTGTGGCCCCGATCTACCCATCCTTATCCTATTTCCCAGTTGGGACTGTTTCTATAGTGTTTATTTATACATCGTTAGCAAAAATACTAAAAATAAATTGGAAATATATTTGTAGATATTATTTTGGCCTGAAAATCAATGGTTAAGCGACATATTTACTTTAGTAATGAATTAATATTATTAATAATATTACGGTTTGCAATCATTTTGCACTAGCGAACGTAACTTTTAAATTATACTCCTAAAATGATAAATTAAAATACCAAGCAAATAAAAACTTTACACCTCTGTCAACAATCAAATACTTTTATATACAATTATACTTTTTTTAGTAATATATTCAACAAAGGGTTCAACCCAAACAGATCCAATATGAATATGAGAAGACCATGTTATTTGTTCAATAGATATATATATATAAATATATATATATTTATATATATATTTGTATTTTCCACCGTTTAGCTTACCAAAAATAAAAAATATAAATGGGCATAAAAAATGATAATAATAATAACAAGCAGCAATGAAATTGCAAAATTAATGCCTCCCATGTAAATATCGAGCATGCATATTTCATGACAATGCGCGAAAGCTGCAAAGCCAACAACAACAACAACAATAACGACTCTGCTCGACTGACAAATACCCTGTACTCAGCTTGCTCGAACTATCTGCTTCATTATTAAATCTCTCCAACTTATTTGATTTATTTTTATTGTTTCTTCGTTTTTAATTTAATTTGATTATTTGTAGTAGTTTTATTAATGCAAAAACCGAGAAGCATCATTCAATTTATAAATGCTAAATGTCTTATAATGTATAATTATAATCCTTTTTTTAATGGAAATTAATTTGTTTTTCCAGGTGAAAGCAGAGAAAAACACATAACAATTATGAAAACAGGTCGCCAAACAACAAATAATCATTTTCCTATGTAAAATGAAACAAAATTTTAATTTTAACAAAACAATATGAAATATTATTTTTCATTGGGAATGTTTATTATGCACTAGTTGGCAATGCGATTATGGCCAATTAATTAGATGACCAGCTAGCAAAGTAAGTGATTGTCAAATGTTGGTTAAATTGTTCCAAATTATCCACCTTTAATCAGTTAACCCAGTGACCCAGAATGACAAAACAGCTAAAAGTAGCGTCGTAAAAATCTTTAGTCACTTTCACCCACTACAATGAGTACAACAAGAACAAGTAAGTCAAGTGAGCTCGACTACACGATGCCCTGAAGCTAGCTGTTAAATATATTATTATATTTTTATTGACAAATTTGCCTTAAAAGAGCTTGACTCACTCAAATGTAAGTACGTGTGGAAGTGCTCTCATTTCTCATGGCTGGCATAGAAAATGGAGGCACGAACTGAATTCATTGGCTTGCGATAAACTCAAGCATAAAACTATATATGGAATATAACTTTTCTTATATTTCTTAATAGATGCGTCGAATTTATCGATAAACTGAAATAATAAATGAAATAAATATTAATCAAAATATTAAAACTTTTGGTCTTAAAGACTCTAAGATACTCGTTTTCATGCAGACAAACAGGACTAGAGCGACTTGACTAGATCCTTATGGGTATTGCTTCCAGCTGCCTGTTACATACTGATGCAGAAAACCATTATACCCTTCGCAGGCATTTTCAATGGGTTCAGGGTATGAAAACAAGTCCCGAGCGCACATTTAGCTTAAATGGGTCTTGACTTTATGTCTCGCTTGGCTGTTCGTCATTGTATTTATGCATTATTTATATTTGTTTTCAAAATGCTCGTTTTTATAACTGTTCTTGTGTGTGTGTGTGTGTGTGTTGCTTTATTGTTTTTTGTGTGATTTTTATCTCCTATGTTTTTTTACTATCATTTTTGGACATATTACAAAATATTTATATGTATTTATGCAGCCGAAAAATTGCACACCAATGTTTAAAGATGAAAAACATTTTTCACGGCGCCCGTGAATATGCATTTTTATTTTATTTTTGTTTTTTTTTTCCCCCCGGCCTATTTTAGTGCACTCACAGACATATTCATCCACTTCGAGTTCAATATTTACAATTAGCAGTCGAATTAGTTGAATAAATACTGAATATATATTTTTTTAATAATCGCTCTATTTATATGTATTTATTTGATGTGCATCGTCTTTTATTTGTTTCTTGTTTACGCATGATTGTGCCAATTTATTTATTATATTTCGTTCAAAATAATTCCCAGATTGCTTTACTGGGTTAGAGCCAATTCAATATTTATGAGCCAGACACAAATGTGACTCGTGTTCGCTTCATTTACAGTGCAGTTCGGTAAGTTGCTGGCAAAGTTGAACACGCTCTTATTTCTATTGTAAATGAACCATACACTTTCCATCAATATTTGAAAGTCGTAATTCAAATTCTGTTTCCATATTTCTGTTGTAATTTGTCCTGCTCTGCTCCAGTTTGCATAAGTCCATTTTTCACTGTTCCATTTTGTGGTGGTTTTTGTTTAGCTAGTTCTGCTTTCATCTGTGCTGTTTCCATTAACTTTGGTTTCACTCTCATTGGCTATTCGGAAGCGTATTTGCATATTCCATTTCCCAGTGTTTCATATTCTATTTGGATATTTTGGCTGTTCCATTGCTACTATTTCTACTATTGTATTTGCTCTTGCTGTTCCATTGCAATATGCACCGCTTCACATCCACATTATTTCAATGTGTATTTTCGCAGAAGCTTACCAAACTACTCACGTTATATTTATGTTTGTCTGCACAGTTGTTCCCTTGTTGTTGTTGTCGTTGTTGTTGCTGATTCTGACGTTGGCGTTGACACTTCCTGTTTTTGTTTTGTCCTTTGCTGCGCTCCAGTCGCGACTGGCGAATCGCGTTTTAAAGTGCAATTTTATGAGCCGTTAACAGCACATTACGCATACGTATTTCATGCACCCAGAGCATATTCGCTCTCTCTCTCTCACACACACGCAAACACACCCACTCACACTCAGTGCAGCAGCGGACCTATAGATTAAGTTATTGTTGATTTGCAGATTTGACAATTTATTGAAGCGGAAAATTCGCAATTTTACAAATTTATTACGCCAAATGGAAAATAGGGACAGCTTTTGCATCCG